ATACGTTTCTGGGTCTCTAGGTTTTGCGCTGAGGGGAAGTTTGCTGATGACATAGCTGGTTGTTGGGATAATGAGAAAAACAGTGAGTGAGATGTAGCCCGTGCACTCAGGGAGAACCTAGTTAGAACTCAGGGGGGACATGGTTTCTGACGTCATGAAGCTCACAGACTGATGAATGGTTTCCTGTTGGGAGCAGGGTCTGTCCCTTCCTCCCCAACTTCTCTGCAGGGCCCAGAACATGGTTTAGGGGGGGCCTTTTCCCCTTCCTTCGTGCTGCTGTCCCCAGCCAGGTAGAGGCAGGCCAGAGTGATGGGGTGTGCCTGGCACCTGCTCTGGCATCAGCTCTCGTTGTTACGCAGAACAAGGGCTGGAGGCTCTCCCACCTGGGCAGCTGGACTGACTCCTCCGGGGTTTTAATTCAGCACTCTGAGCATCCGTCCCCCAGCTGGGTAGCAGGTTGGCTCAGACAGAGGGTGGGAAATTGATGAACTGGGTGCTCAGATCATCCGGGTCCTCCCAGGGGGCAGGCGGCCCTTCCCAAGGGCTCACTGCCGAAATGTAATGGAGTACGGACACACTTATGGAGTGCAAGCAGTGCTAAGCGACAGTGCAGCTCCCAGGGACCAGCAAGGGGGAGAATCGTTGCCACCCTTGAGCCTGCACGGGCCGGGAGGGGGCACCCGGCAAGACCCAGCTAGGGCGGCTACCCTGGAAGAGGGCCCACAGGCAGGCACTGTGCCCTGAGGCAGGGACACAGCCACCGCCAAAACCAGGGCCTGTGGGGAGAGGCGGGCAAACACCCTGTCATTGCCCGGCTCCTGCTTCCCGTCATTTTCCCTCTTGGGCTGAATCAAGTCAGAGGCTGAAAGACCAGAGGAGCCCGGGTGTCTCAGTCTGTGGGGGCCACGCCCTCTCCTGGCCTGGGGCGTTCGGGTTCGAGGAGGTCAGACAGCAGACAGGCAGAGGGGGCCAAGAGAGAGTATCAAGGAGTGCTGCAGGAGGCTCCCGCCCTCTGGCTCCCCTCCCCTGCCCCCAGGAGGCCCTGGCCGGTGGGCAGGCTGGGGGCTGCTCATCCCAGACACATGCCAACACCCGCATGGTCACAGTCCGTCTTGTCGCCTCCCACAGTTTTGGCATATTTACTCCCTCCAGCCCCACCTCGTTTCCTGTCCCTTCCGAGTCCACTGGAGGCCAAAGGGTGGGCAGGTCCAGGAGGTCTTCTTGGACGAAGGGTGCAGAAGGGCCGCATGAACTGTCTGAGGAAAGAGGGTAGAGGGAGAGCTCCAGTCCAAAAGAAAGGGAGGCGAACATGACGTACCAGATGCCACAACATGGATGCTTTCACATCCCTTACACACACACCGACATTCATCAGAAGATTCCTGACACTGATTGCAGCATTTCCATTTTAGGGATGGGGAGCTGGAGGCTCAGAGAGGCTATGCCACTTTTCAAATGCTGCACAGCAAGAGATAGAGCCAAGATACAGATTCACATCTGCCTGAGTCCAGCAAAGAGTAATGAGATAAAAGCTGGTCTGAAAAGATGTGGCAAGAATGGAATGTGGGAAAGGTAGATCAGCATTCCAACCCCAGGGCCAGACAGGGGTGGGAGGCTCGGTCAGCTGCTGGTCCGGGAGTGAACCTAGAGTTTTGCTTCCCACTTCTGGTGAAATGTGTTGGTGGGGTACAGCAAGCATCCCTGGCTTTCCGTAAGAGCAGTAACTAGGGTGGGAGGTATTTAGCTTTCACTGCCCTTCCTGCCTCTAGGCCTGGGGCAGCCTTAGGCCCTTGAGCTGTTGGCAGAGGTTTGTGATTGGAATGGGGGTGGCCTACGAATCTTGGGCAAAGACCTTAGGGATGGACTGAGAAGGCCTTGGTGTGAGGGTGCTGTCTCCTTAGCCCAAAGGAACAATGTTAACTGGAGATGAGTTTTGGCTGCAAAGGGCAAAGGGGGACAGGAAATATAGGCTTGAGCACTGTGTACTGGGGGAGAGGGTCAGTAGGGCAGGGGCTGGGGTCCAGCACTGTGTATGGAGCAGTGGAAAGTTGGGGAGATGCCTAGGTACCAGCAGTGTGGGTGGTTTGGAGGGAGGAGGGGAGCAGTTGGCAGGCCCCACTCAGTGCAGTACTCTCTGGGCCTGGAGCCCAGGGGTGGGGCTCCAGTGAGGTAAGGGCTCAGGGGAATTGGGGACGGGGGAGTCTTAGCATAGCTACTGCCACAGACTGAAGGGGTCTTCCAGCTCCCATGGAGTCAAGTCCTTCTCTGGCCTTCCTCCGAAAATGAGTGGACACCCCTCCCCAACGCTGGAGGAGCCGTGAGGGAAGGGCCTGGGGACGTGTGTGTGTGAGCATGTGCATGTGTGTGAGAGAGGAAAAGAGATAGAAGGAGAGAGAGAGAGCTCCTTGGATCCAGAGACCCAGACGGCCCCAGGACACGGGTGGGGCTGGGATCTGCCCTCCCTAAATGTGGTCAGTTAGAACAATCCAAGCAAAACCTGAGGGAGTGAAAGTTACAAGATTCAGACTCTTGAAGTCAGCTTCTTCTAACATGTGAGGAAACTGAGGCGTAGAAAGGGGCGTGGCTGGTCAAGATGAAATCTCCCTGCCCCCAGGCCAGGCACTTACCTCCCTCGCAGAGGGTCTGAAGCAGCCCTCCTCTTCATCCGTGGGATAGGCGGCTCTCTTTGGTCTTAACATCCACTGAAAATCTAATTTTCCATCTTAAAGCAGCACTAAAAATAATAGCTCTTTCCCCACAATGTTGATGGGAGAAGTAAGTGACTTCTATGAACAAAGAGCTTCACACAGGGCCCGACACCTCATAAGCGCCCGCTGAATGTCAGGAAGCACCGATGGAAGACATCACGGTTCAAGGGAGCCGCCATGTGACTCTGAGTCTGATCTTACTTTGGCTGTGCTACAGCCACAGAGCTGGGCAGCACATCCCAGAGGGAAGGCAGAGGCAGCCACTGGTGAGAGGGGTCTGCCTGCCCACCTTGGCAAGTGGGAGCCACAGTGGCCCTGTTCCCTGGCCCTAAATTTGCACTCTTGGCACTCACTTTCTGGTCCCTGCCAGGAGGTTCCCCTGTGACTCATGCCTGTCCAGACCCCCATCCTGGCCAGCAGGGTGATGGTATCAGCCTGGGAGCCCCTAAGGAGCCTGGGAGCAAGTATCACTGCTTACTCAGCCCAGCCTCCCTGCCAGCCCCAAGCCCAGAAAGGGGTCAGCAGAGGCACTGTCTGCCACGTAGCTGCTGTCCACACCTCCTGCCTTGTCTACAAGGCCAGCTGTGGGACACCGGCATCTGAAATGAACATGATGCTTCCTCTGGGCTGATGCACATCTTCTGGAACTTTACACAATCACTCATTTAATCCTGAGAGATCAATCCTGCTCACTTTTATTTCCATGTTGCAGAGGAGAAAACTGATGCCAAGAGAAGTTAAGTGACTTGCCCAGAGTCTCAGACATGGCGATCCAGACAGGCTGGCTCCACACTCCGCTCCCGTAGCAGCCACGCTATGCGGCTCTCCGTTTCCCTCCTCCTCCACGCCACGTGGTGTGAGCAGAAGCACACCTTGCTTCCTGGCCCTGCACAGTGCCCTGTCATGGCACGTTCCTTCTTCCTTCCACTCCTTGTGGATGAGGGAAAGAGCTCACCGCCCATATTCATCTGATTTCTGTCCTGGGGTCTGATTTTGTTTTTGTGCCTTTCCCAGATCCAGACCTCTCCGGATGGCTCTCAAAGTGGCCTTTATGACCCCCCCCTCGACCCACTCCCCAATGGCTCACTGTTCACTTAAGTTCCAGACCCACTTTCTGTATTTATACTTCAGAGTTCCAGAGACTCTTCCTGCGGCTGTGGCCCATCAGAAGCCTCCCCTGCCCCTGCCCCAGCACCACAGGTGGGCTGGCCAGGAGCTGGCCTCCTGAGTGGGCACTCACAGGGTGTGCCTGGGGTAAAGGGCCTGAGGGGGTAGAGAGGGACTCTGCCTAGAAAGGCCGGGCATGAGGAGAAGGGGCTCAGGACTAGACTGAGTTGGGACCACAAGGCACTCTGGCCTCCCCACTCTCTGCTTTGAATTGCTGGGTCCTCTTTCTGGAGGGCGTTAAGTACGACGATGCCTCTCCTAGGCCTCCATCAATCTCTTCCTTCCCTCTGTTTCTCTCTGCCTGGCCTGCGGGCCTCAGGATGGAGGCACAGGCCCTGTTGTTGACTTGCTTGTGTCTGCTCCTGGGTGGGACCTTGGTCCACTTAGGGCCCAGCCAGACGGCGCAAGCCTGGCGGTGTAGCAGCTCTTTCTTCTTTCTTGGCCAAAAGCTGCCCCTGACCCAGTCCCAGGAGGGCCCTGAAGCTGAGGGCTTTGTCCACAGGGAAGGGCACATGGAGCTCCCTGCACCCCAGTGCCACTACCTGCAGGATGGTGGAGGGGAACAGTCACAGGTGCCCACTGAGGCCAAGAACTCAGCTGTTGCAGCTGGGCCTCAGGGGCTGACTGGTACTGCCCAGGGCTCCTGGCTGGCTTGGGGACCTGAGTGTGGTGGGTAGCACACTGTTATCTGCTGCCTGAGTAAAGTGAGATGCTCTGCAAACAGAAGTGACCTCAACAAAACACATGTGGCTTTGTGAACTGGTTGGAGCCTTCAGCTGCAGTGGCGCAGGTGAGGCCGGAGGAGCCCGCTGGCCTGCCCCTGGCTTTTCTGTGTTGTGAGTGGGCTGTAGCGCAAGGACTCTCAGCAGCTACCTGCTGGCTGTATCAGCCCTAGACTTATCAGCAGATCTTTAAGTGAGTTTCCCTAGAAGGTCTCTGGAGGTGTATGGGCTGTACTCCAGCCCTCAATCTGTTCTCCCCACCAGTCTGGACCAATTCACATGGAGAAGGAGTAGTTTCTCTTGTGCATGTGCCAGTCTCAGATGCTGTCTTTTTGTCTCTGGGTATATGTGTCAATTAGAATTAGTTTCAGTTGTGAGTGACAGAAAAACCCAAATAATTGTGTTTTAAGTAAGACTGACATTTATTTCTCTTTCACATAAATCAAGTTTGGCGATCTTCAGCTCTGGTTTGTTATGGTGGCTCTGCAGCCATCTGGAGTCCAAGCTCTTTTTACCTTATTGTGTCACCAATCTCAAAAATGGCCTGTACCTCATGGTGCAATATGGCTGCCAGAGCTCCAGCCACTGAATCAGCTTAACAGCCAGCTAGAAGAAGGAAGGAGTAAAGAGAAGCATCCCCCACATCTCCCAAGTCACATCCGTAAGTCCCAAAGATACTTCTCTGTATATCCTACTGGGCAAATAGCTGCCGCTAGCTTTAAAGGAAGACAAAAAAATGTAGTCTTTCATCTGAGTGACCATGTGCCAAGCTTAAAATCAGGGGTCTTGTTACTAACAAATCCTGGAGTATGACTAGGTGTCCTCTCTACAGCATGAGACCTGAGTAGAGGGTTCTGGATGCTGCATGATTCCCATAGGTTCCTCCAGATAGCCTGGCTGTGGAGAGTGGGGCTCTGCCTCCCCATCTGGGCCCTGCCTCCAGCTTTGGGGCTTGAAGTTGCCCTTGGAGCTGTGGTAGTAGCAGGAGTACGATCTCCTTGGGGTCTCCATCAGGGAGAGGATCAGTTTGATGATCAGGGCCAGCCACGCCATCCCAAAGAGGATCCACAGGGACACCGTGTTCTTGTACCACAGCGGGTACCTCCGGGAGGGGTCCATCCCTGAGGGAGAGGCAACGTTAGAGGATGGAGGCCTGGGAACGTCCGGGCCATGTTCCCAAAACAGATGAACGCACATGGCTTGATGCCTATGAGCAGGGTATGGGAAGCCCAGACTGGTCTGGGATTGCTGGTCTTGTGGTCACCTCTGTCAGGTTCTAGGAATCTTCCTTGGACTGGTACCTTAGGCTTGGAAGCGAAATTTCCTCTTTGTCTTTCTGAGGGACTCTGTTTGCCTTATCATAGTGATTCTCAAAGTGGGGTCCCTGGACCAGCAGTGTCAGTGTCATTGGAGAGTTTGCTAGAAACATAGACGATTGGGCCCCACTCCAGATCTACTCCATCAGCAAGCCTGGGGGTGGGCCCAGCAATCTGTGTTTTAACAAGCCCTCCAAGAAAATCTGATGCCCTCTCTGTTGTTTGCCTATTTCCCTCTGGTTTTGGTATTCTTATATCTGAAGGGAGGCAGCTTGCCAGGAGCTTTAGGAAGAGCAGATGGAGGTCCCGGAGTTTGAATCCTGCCTCATTTCTCACCAGCTGTGTGATCTTCATCTGTCTGAAGGTTCTTTGCCTGTGAAACTAGTGGGGAAGGTGATTTCTCCTCCTCGGCTTCTAGGATGATGTGCTGAGTTCTCATCCCAAGGTCCCCTCTCTGCCACTCCCCTGAGAGCTGGGCTCTAATTACTCTGGCCTTTCTGCCTTTTCTCCACCTAGTATTCTTTCTGCCTCAGGGCCTTTGCACTTGCTGTCCTCTCAGCTCAGAATGCTCTTCATTTCTGAATCTTGGCCTGGCTAACTTCCCTTCATCTTTAAGAGCTCAGCTCAGACTTTACTCCCCAGAGACTAGGCTGGGTCCCTCTTTTACACTTTTTCACAGTCCACATACTATTGCTGGGCAAGCTACTTATTCTCTCTGAATCTCTACCTCCTCTTCTATAAAATGGAGACAGCAAGTGTGTCTACCCTCTAGGACCACATTGTCTCTCATATGGGTCCATGCAACTAAAGTGCTCAGAATGTCTGAGCCTCTTGGCTCAGTGTGTCTGGTGGAACACATAACACATAACAGGTAGCCAAGATCTGTGGTCAGGTGATTGTTTTTGTCACTATTGGATCCCCACACTGGTGACTCCCAAAGAGTCAGGACTGGAAAAGTAATGGCTGGGGAAGGGAATGGACAGAGGCCCCTGTGAGGCTTCGACAAGTCATATCAACTCAGTCCTTCCCTCTGTCCTGGGAGTCTGTCTTTCCTTCCTTATCAGATTAGGATTGTTCAAAGGGCTGAGATCTGTCCTCATTTCCTGGACATCTTTTCTGTCTTAGCTCTCTGGACCACCCACCCCTCCGTCCAAGCCCCACCCCATCCTGCCTTCTCCCAGGATGACCTCCCTTCCCTGTCTTTTCAGGCCTGGGCCCCTCTCCTGGACCCTAGCATAGGGATGAGCCTGTGGACCTGGACCCAACCTCACTGCCTGGCAGGAGCCAGGATTGGATTAGGCTGATTGGGTTATGGGGCCACGATTCCGCTGGCGGTCCCAAATGAGATCAGCCGTGAGCCAGATCTCGGCCCCTGCTGCCCGCCAGCTCAGCTTGCTCACGGCAACAGAGGGGAGGAGGCGTTCTTTCCCCCTTTTATTTCATTTTTTCAAGCTGAAATTATAAGTGGCAGGAGACCTGGCAGCTGGCAAGGCGCTCAACTGAGTTGTAAATGCAATTGGGGGAAGCAGGGTCTATGAGGCCAAGGAGGAGCAGGCAGCTGGGACCTAGTGGCTGCTCTGGCCACGGCCTTTGGGCAAAGAGGAGTGGCTGAGAAGACAGCGCCCCTTGTGGCTGATGACACAGGGACACCGGGAGTACAGGCACTGGACCTCAACATTCCCACCCAAGAAGGGGGTTTGACCTTGTCCCTGGAGGACAGGGAAAACTGAGAGACATAGGGAAGAAGTGACGGAGGGGTCTGTCCACTCTTAGCTGTGGAAGATTCTGGAACATATGTGTATGAGGAGGCCTGGTCTGGGAACCTATCCTAGACCTGCCCTTGGCTTGCCTGCTCTGTGACTTTAATCAGCTTCCTTCCCCTCTCTGGGCCTCTGGAGAGGAGGCTGTCAAGGGCTCTCGGCACGGGCACTTGTCATGAGGCACTGGAATGGCTTCCAAGGGAACCAGAGCGAGTAGAAATCTCTGCAGATATGGGGAAGGGGCTAGCTTTGCCCATTGCTCCTTGGGGGGAGTGGAGAGCCTGGGCAACCCCTTTGGGCTTAGAGGGCCCTCACGGGTTTGGACCAGGCCTCTTGGCTCAGTGTGTCTGGTGGAAGGGGGCTGTGGGAGGCCTGTGCCCCACACACCAGCCCCCTGCCATGCCCTGCCACTTTCCACAGGTGGCTCACAGGGTAGCAGGGACACTGATCAGACCTCCTCACTCCTGTAGAGATGGCTGTGCAGATGTCTCATCCTCCCTTGATGCTGGCAGAGGCTTTTCTTCCCATTTCCAGGGTGCCCCTTCTTCCCCCTGCCCTGCCCTGCCTCAGGGGACTGCAGGGCCTCAGGACATCCTCACAGAGATGCCATCCTCAATGTGCTCTGTGTGAATGGTAGCCTCTTAGAGTTGTGCAGTGCTCAACCTGCGCAACCAGCCATATGCAACATTCCCTGGACTACAGAAATGGTAGTGGGAACATATGCAACATTCCCTGGACTATGGAAATGGCAGTGGAAACAGAGAAGAGAGGACAGATCCAAGCATCATTCTCTGAACTGTGAGGGGGAAGGTAAGTTCTTTGGAGCTGCTGGTCTCAGGTGCCATCAGATACATCTCTCCGCTTGAAGTGGGAGTATGACCGAGTTGGAGGAAACATTCCCAAATATTTCCTTCCAGAGCAACAGCCCCTTCCCAGGATAGAAGATATCAGGAAAGGGCAGCATGAGGCCCCTGACCCCAGACCCTTCTTCCTGAGGAGGTTCAGGGAAGGGAAGCTTGCACATAGGCCAGAAGCATGGAGGGGCCTTAGCCATCACCAGCCCAGCCCCCTCATGTTACAGATAGGAACACTGAGGGCCAGAGAGGGGATGCATAAAGCAGTCTGCAGAGGGAGGGTGCAGAGCCCCCTTGAGGCCAGCGTGGTGGTGATGCCAGTGTCCCTGCTCACGTGGTGCCAATTCCCTTCAGGGGCAGGGAGCAGAGAGGGATGAGGAGGCTTAGCTGCCCTCGCCACCCCACAGAATGTCCCTCTACTGCCACTTGCTGGGCATCTGCCTCAGCTTTACTATGCAAGGCCAGCAGCTCCTGGGGCCCTTGTCCTGCCCTTCTGGAGTGGTGACCACTGGTCAACACCCCCTTGGGCCCTCTGGGTAATGGAGCCCTCTCTTGCTGGCTCTCAGAGTTTGGCTGCCAATTGTTTTCCAATGGGATTTGGGGGATGCTGGGGTTTCTGGGTCTCCCAGACTCTCCTGCCTGACCTCTGTGGGCTGTGAATGGAGTACATGGCCCTCTGCCCGGGGACAGGAGGGAGCTTGGTGTTTCACGGGGCAGGGTGAAGTGGGCAGGAGAGGCCCTGGGGCGAGAACTACCTGGGGTGGGAGGCCAGGGACTCCTCTCCTGGGGTGAGCTCTGGGAGCCACAGTTGGGCCTGTGGACATTCCCTGTTTGTCAAGAAGGCCAGGGGTGTGACTTACAGCCAGAAGCACTAGTTCAGACTCCGGTTGTCACTTTTTAGCAGGGTGACCTTAGTCCCATCACACAACAAAGGTAGCTGAGCCTGCCAGGGCTGTGTCCTCTGGACTTTGGGCCTCCAAGCCCCGCAGTCCCGGCCTCCCCTCCCACTGCCCTCCGGGGACGCTCACCAATCACGTAGTCACCAAAGCCCACGGTGCTGAGGGTGATGAAGGCGAAGTAGAAGCTCTCCACGTAGCTCCAGCCCTCCATGCGGCAGAAGAGCAGCGGGGGCAGCAGTAGGAAAAGCAGGAGGCCCAAGAGGAGGGTAACGGAGCCTGCCAGCCACCGGGCCTTGGCTGCATCCTGCAGGTGCACATGGCGCCAGCTCCCACATGGAATGTGAGGGCAGGGGGAGCAGACAGCCTGGGGGCAGCCCCCTTATGGGGAAGAGCGCCTGCCCTGGCTCCGGCTCAGGACCGCCCAGCTCCAGGTTCCCAGCCAAGAACTTGGCCGCCTCGTGGCCTGCCCGTCCACCAAGTCCCACCATGTCTCCCCCACTGATGCCCCTTTACTACTAAAGATCCCCATTCTGGGCAGTGACCTCCGAAGCCACCATATCCCCACCAGCATCCCAACTCCCCTATAACCCGTGTGGCCCCCTCACCTGCCAGGCACCCCCCAGCCTGAGGGCACAGCGGTGCACCCCCCGCTCCATGAGATGCCCGAGTCGGTTGAGCACCACGAGGTTGAGCGGTATCCCCACCAGGGCAAAGGCGATGCAAAAGAGGCGGGCGGCCAGAGTGTGGGGGCTCAGGTTGCCATAGCCTGAGGAGAGATGGGGGAGGTGGGCACTTCAGAGGAACTGCCCATCCCCGGGGCCCTCAGGCCTGACCGGCTCTGGCCATGGCGGCTGGTGTTCACTGAAGCCTCCCTCTCCCATGCCAGGCGCTGTGCCAGGGCCCTGTTGTTTATTCCCTCAGGCCCACCTTACACCCACCCTTCTGGGTGAGGATCATGCCCCATTTTCTGCTGAGTGGAAAACTGAAGCTCTAGGAGGCAGAGCGATGTTCATGAGCTCAGCCACGGGGTGTGAGAATCTCCTTTCCTCTCTTCATGTCTTCCCTCTCTGGGTGGGCAGGGAATGTGGGAGAGGGGCACGGGAGGGTGCAGAGCCCCCAGCTGATGAGTTCCCAGATCTACGGCGTCATTCAAGCTGAGGCAATGCTGCCCCCAGTGACTCCCAGCCCACAGCAGGGCCAGGCGCCATGGCGGGCGGGCGGGCCAACCCAGCACCCCCCTAACAGCAATTCTGCTCCAGCTCTCATAGCCCGGCCACACCTTTCTCAGAGCTGTGCTGCAGGCTGCAGCTCGGCCCTCTCAGGCCCTTCCCTCCCTCTCTCCCTTCCCAGGTATCAGACCTGCTTTGCAGTCGGAGGCTCCCACCCTTCTGTGTCCTCCAAAAGCTTCTCTCTCCTCTACAAGCTCTCTCACATCACATTCTGTCCTAGTATCTGACTTTCAGAGGGTCCTACCTAGCACACCAGGCTCCAGCCCAACCCCTTTGGGAGTAAGAGGCAGACAGGGGACCAGCAGGTGGCCAGGGGATGTAGAGGTTGGCACCTCTGTTGTGAAGATAACGGAAGGGGAGGCTAGGGGAGAACAAGGTGTTCCTGAAAGGATTCTGTCAGCCTGGACACCCCTCCCTCCTTCACTGTTCTCCCCCTCCCCGCTTCTTAGTCACCAGCACTGTCTGTCTTTATAAAGTGCAAACCTGATTATAACATCACCCAGGTTATTACCCTTCATTATTCCTCCTGCCTGCTGGGGAAAGTCCAGACTCACCCAGCCTGTGTCTGAGCACATCTGGTTCCCTGCTTTCCCAGTTCTGGCCACAGTCCTGCTCCACTGGACCCCCAGAGCCCCTCATGCCTCTGTGCTCCTTCTGCCAAGAGCATGCTTCCCTCCTTGCCTACCTATGAATGGCCTGGCCTTCCCATGGAGTGGCTCCCCCAGCTCCCTGCCAGGCTCTGACCCACTGTATGAGAATGATTCACTTCCATGTCTGCCTTCCCCAAGGTTCATGAGTCCATCAAGAGCTGGGGCTGGGTCTTAATACTCTTTGCATTATCAGCAACTGGCTCCCAACCTGACACTTAATAGGTGCTCACCACACATACGCTAAATGACTACAAGAATGAACGAATGAATGGGAAATACAGGCGTGGACGTGCGAGATGAATGGGTGCCTTGCATGCTGCCCCACGTCACTGCCTCCGTCCCTCCTGTTGCCCGGGTCAACACTCCCACACACTCTGTACTCACTTGTGCTGTCCTGAGACTGTGGTTCACACTCACCCACCTTATTGAGGGGTGTAAGTACATGGTTCCAAGAGAGTGGGTCCCAAATTATGTGCTAGTCTAGAGCTCGGGCTTTTGGCATCAAAGGCACTTCCTAGGCTTGAATCCCAGCAGTGCCCCTTGTAAGTTATGGGACTTGGGCATGTGTCTTGACCTTTCTGAGCCTCAGTTATCTCGTCTATAAAACGGGAATGTTGGCATCTGCTTCACAGAGTGGTGCGGGAATGAAAGGGCACAATAGAGGCATGCTGTAGATGAGAATGTGAACCTTCAAGCATCATACACAGAAGGTACTAAATAAATGTCTGTTGTATGAATGAATGGATGAGTGCTCAAACTCTACTGAACCAGCTTCTGGTCTGAGGACATCAGAGGCCTTTTCTAGAGTCCATCCACCTCCCCTTTTTTAGGCTTTATGGGTTCCTTCCCCCCAAAGGAGGGACTTCTCCTTTCCACTTCATCCAGGAAGAGGCAGATCCCTCCTCCTCCAGCTGTGGGTCCCCCAAGTCCCATCCTCTGTCCTTGGTGCTCTCTTTATTCAGTTCTAATCTGTGGGATGGTGGCCCTTAGATCCAGACCTGGGAGGACCTCCCAGAGGCCTGCGCCATTCTCAGGCTGACAGTAAATGGGTTTTCTCCTAGTCATTCTCAGTTAGCTTGCAGGTCAGCTGGATCAGTGGACATTGATGTCCTCACCAGCCTGTTGAGTCCTCTGTGGCCATGGCCCCTCTAAGCCACCTCTCATTTCAGTATGTCTCCCACCTGTCACCTGGGCTCTCCTGCACCTTCTCTGAAGTTAGCCCTCATTTCCAGCCCTCTCTAGGCAATCTACTGTTCCCCAAACAACCAGTCACACTCCTACCTCAGGACCTTTGCACATGCTGGTGGAGGTCCTTTCCCCAGGTATTTATGTGACTTCTCCCTTATTTTTTTCATGTCTCTGCTTCAATGTTACAGTATCAGTGAGGCCTTCAGTGGCCACCCCATCTACAATAGCTCCCCCATCACTATAGACTCCCTTAACTGGCTTTATTTTTCTCTATACACCTTCCATAACCTGAATGTCGCCTATGTAACTGTTAGTCTACTGTGTGTGCCCTCGCAGTAGAATGCAGCTCCCCAGGGGCAGGGACTTGCCAGCTTTGCTCACCATTGTGTTCTCAGCACCTAGAATTGTCTGGTTTACACAGGGACTCAGTCTCTGTTTGTTGAATGAATGGATGGATAACTGACTGAACAAATGAGCAAGCCAGGGATGAGTTCATCAATGACAAGCAATTTCAGGGCTCAGGGCTCTTCTGCTGGCCCAGAAGTGTTTGTGTGTCTGTCAGACCCTGTCTCATTTGAGGGCTTGGAATGTACAACCCTTATAAGTGCTGGTAACAGGGGCACCAAGGAGGCAGCCCTCTGCTGTGGCTCTCAGAATACCCCTTCCTTCCTTTACGGAGTGTTCTGCGGGGGCCACATCTCTCCCCTCCCCTCTCCTTGCCGTTTCTCCGCATTCCCTCCGAGCGTGTGCGTGTGTGGTCACAGTCAGAGTCTCAAGCTTCCCTGCTGCTCACCCCAGACGGCCATCTCTTTCTTCCTGTTGCTTAGAATTTCTGCCCTAGCCTCTGGACCCTCAAAGGACAGGTCCTCCTGGAAAGAGCAATGCCGTCCTCTGGCTGGTTTCAAATTCCAGCCCTGCTGCTCAGTAGCTATGCGACCTTGGGGAAGTCGTGCAACTTCTTTCTGCCTCAGTTTCCTCACCTGTGACATGAACATATAAGCCCTATCCTTGGCCGTTGGATCATTATGGACAAAATGAAATCCCAGTGTAAACGTGTTCCTTACAGAGGCTGGTATGAGTAGAACACTTGTGTGAAGGAGGGTAGGGTCCCTCTGTCCTCCTCTCCCTCAGAGCTGGCTCAGATATTAGACTGGGAAATAGTCCAGACTAGGAATGGGAGAGCTGGGAAGAGACAGGCTGCAAAACCCTGAGTTCGGTGGACCAAAGTGGCAGGCCTGGGTCAGGGGTGTAGGAGTGTGGGGTTCAGAGACTAAAGACCCCCACTATCTGGGAGGCATGGCCTACAGTGACTGCAGCAATCCCCTATTGCTCTGAAACTCAATAAATGCTGGTGGAGGGGGTGTTTTTGGAGTTCATTAACCTGTCTGTGTTTGTTGAGTGGCCGCTGTATGCTGGGCCTGGTACTAGACCCGGGGCGTAAAGATGAATAAACACTGTCCTGGCCAATCCCTCCAGGGACACAGGATCTCTGGGGTCTGAGGGGCCTTCCAAGCACACTTGTCTCAAGGTGGAGATTGCCCAAGCGCCCATGCAGTCCTGAAACCTGCTTCCTGGAAGTATTGGCTGATTTAAAACTAGATGGAAAGTGTCCTGCCTGGCTTCTCTCTGCAGAAGCCAAGGCTGGGTAGTGGGTTCCTGGGGACACAATCCTGGCTGGCCAAGAGCTGTGGAGGCCCCTGAGCCACAGGCAGTGTCAGCCTGCCACCTGGTGGTGAGTCCAGTGTCATGCAGGGGCTGGGGCTGGGTACCAGGGCAGAGGCTTGGGATGGCTCCACTTAATTACTTCTGGGATTTCAGAGCTGGAGGGATCTAGGCTGCTCTTCTTCCCTTCACAACATCCTCCAGGTACCCTCCTGGGATAAGTTTCACCTCTTCTCTTCTGAGGCAGGGTCAGAGAAATAGGAAGGAGAGCTGTCCAGGGTTCCCCAAGGATGAGGGAGGAAGGGGGCTTGGAGAACGTGGGGGTGGGGGGGAGGGAGTGCCTTTGTGAGCTGAGGAGAGGCCTCCAGGAATGGCCACTTCTTCCCAAGGCCAAGAACATGGGCGACAAAAGGCTCATGTTGGATTTCTGTCCCTCCTTCAGGTCATGTGAGGCAGAAGTCCCCTAGATCAGTGCTTCACAAACTTGAGCATTGCACACAAACCTGGGAGCTTGATAAAAGGCAGAAACTGATTCAGCCCATCTGCAGTGAGCCTGAGATTCTGCTCCCGGTTGATGGCTATGCTGCTGTGCTTGACTGCACTGGAGTCATGAGGCCCTAGTAACCGCTCCAAGAGGCACAGGTGCCCTGTCCCTCGGGGAAGGCCATGCTCCCCAGCCCCACCCATCCTGGCCCCATAGTGGTCTTACCAATGGTGGTGATGGTGGACACGGAAAAGAAGAAGGAGCCCATAAGCTCCCAGCGCCCCATGCTGGTGGTATTGCCCAGGACGATGTCCCCACTTTGATACGCCTTGACGATGCCCTGGGGGAGAGGCTGCAGTGACCACCAGGCTCTGTGCGGTGACCGAGCCCCCACATTCAAACACATACATGTGCGTGTACATGCACACACACACATACACAACTCTGAACAATCTTCATAACCTCTCTTTGATCCCAGTCCATCCAGGGCAAGGAGGCTATTTACCTCCAAAAAGGGACTCCCCAGAGGCAGGGACCATGGGGTCAGCCCTGTTCCCTCTCTCTACCCCAGGGCCCAGGTCAGCCCAGGCTATCTCAGTGACTGGAAGAACCCTAATCATTTTCTCCCCTACACAGCCGAGTCCTCAACAAGTGCTGGCCAGGCCCACCATATGGTGCTTTAGGGGACTGCAGATGAAAGAGACATGACCTCAGGCCTCAGTGGGACAGCGATCAGCTTGAACTCTAAACTAGTGTAATCAGTGTTGCTTTAGGCATGAAGGCTGTGCAGCTGTGTGATCATGAGCCAGACATCCCCTTCTCTGTGCCTCAGTTTTCTCATCTGTAAAATGGGAATATTAATAGCACCTACTTCATGGAGTTGTTGTGAGGGTTAAATGAGGTATTTGGTGTAACATGGTAACAGTGGTTGTTATCAACATCATTATTAGGAACAGAACCATAGGAATTCAGAAAAGAAAGGTGTTCATTCTGATGGGGGCAAGGGTGGAAGGCTTCATGGAAGGGGTGATGTTTTAGTTGGCTTTTCTTGTAGGTTGGCTAAGACTGCCTCCATTGGAGGGACATTAGGTAGAAGGGACTGCAGAAGCCAAGGTTAGGAGGCAGGGCTGGGCCTGAGATCTAGAATAGGGAGGCTGAAAAGTAGTTGGCAGCCAGGCTACGCTTGGTTCTGCCATGCCAGGCATGGAGGGGCAGGCCTCTTCCAAGGTCCCTGAGCAAGAGGGAGGCAAGGTCAAGTTTTTGTGGTCTGTGGCAGCTGGCAGCATAGATGCTGGCAGACCCGAAGGGAAGAGTGGAGAGTGCCTGGCCTGCATTCTGGCACAGAGTAGTCCAGGAAGAACAGAGAAGAAATATTCAGAAGCCCAGGCCTGAAGCCCTATTTGGTGTGGGTTGTGGGGGAAGCATCTAAGACCACTGTGAGGGTGTGTGGCTGTGGGCCACAGAGTTAGAGCTGGTGGAGGAGCAGGGCTGGGGGGAGGAGGGCTACTTGATCTTGACCTTGGGGGAACTTGAGGGCAGCTAGGAAGTTGCAGGTACACGTCTGCACTAGTGGGGAGGTCTGAGTTGGAGACACTGTATCTTTATTCCCGGGGATGGTTGAAGCCAAGGAGGGCTGAGGAAGGGGGTGAAATAGGGGTGGGGCAGGAGGCGTTTGGGGGGAAGGGTGCAGAGATGCAAGTCCTACTGGGAACCTTGGGAAACACCCGCACTGGGGCGGCATGGAGAAGTTACCAGCCCTGCTCCTTGGCTATGTAGCCATGTATTTGGATTTAATCTCTCTGAGCCTCAGTTTCTTCATTTCTAAAATGGAGATGATAATAATGCTATACCTGTGAGGCAGGTTAAGATTAAACGAGTTAATACAGGTCAGTATCCTAGGGACAATGCTTGACACCCGGTAAGTGCCACACAGAAGCATTTACTGTTATTATCTTCATCACAGTCATCTTCTCTGGGCACAGGCTGCTGGCAACTCTGCAAGGGGAATGTCACACAGCCTCCAGCACCAGGCAGCGGGGCTGTATTTGTAGAAGCTAAGAGGCAGGTGTGGAAGCACTACATTAGGTTCCCAGAGGAGATAGGGTTCCCCTGCCCAGCTCCAGGCCCTGCTGAACCGGTCCAGGACAAACAGCTCAGGATCCCATATCTGCTCCAGTCCCTTCCCACCCCAACACATTTCCCTGCTACCTTCTGGGGGACTGGCTTTGGGCTGGCGACTCTGGGGCACAGGCCTTGCCCTCCCCAGTGGAGGAGGCAGTGGAACTGCAGGGCGGGGATGTCGGGCTAGCGGACAGCTGCCTGGACCTCGCGCCCAAGCCAGGGCCCAGGATGTTAATATATCCTCCATATCCCAGCAGCTCCCAGTCTGGCCTCGCCTGCCCAGAGTCGACGGGGACCTCCATCCACCTGCGATGCTCTGTCCTTGAAGAACTCTCTCCTGCCTCGCCGCCTCCCCACGCGCCAAAGAGCCTCACACCCTGAGTTCCTCAGCGGCCTCCCATCCTCCCGCCAGCGCCCTCTTCAGCCCGGCCTCCGCGGCTAGGGCGGCACGTCCGGCTCCTGGGTCCCAAGACTCAGAGTAAAGCGGCTTCAGTGAAAGAGCGCCCGGAGTTTGCCCTTCCTTAGAAGGCCCGGACACTGGCGCACGCGCCGGACCCCTTCCACTCACCCGCCGGCACAAGCGCGCCCCGCACCCCTTAACCCCAGATTCCCACGGCCGCGCTCGCCGTCCTGCTGCTCCTAGACGCCACCCAGCGCCCCCTGCCGTCCTCGCCCTCAATCCTCAGATTTGCACCCAGCATCTCTGTGGAAGGAGCCCTTTCGTCTTTCGCCCAACTTCCGACCCCAACTCCCCGCCGCGCGGTCCCGGGTCGGCCCTGCCCGCTCCTGAGCCGGGCAAGTGCGCCCCCACGAGTCCTCATCCCCAGGTCCGGCTGTGCGCGCCACGCAGCCCTCCGGACCGGGCGGGTCAAGCCCGGCGCCGCGCCGCGCACTCCCCTCGCTGCAGTGGGGCCCTTTCCCTTGCGCTCCAGCCCGGCCCTCGGGAGCCCCTCCTCCGCCCGGAAGCGCGCGGCCCAGTCGTGCCCGCCACCTCTCTTGGGTAAGTGCGCACAGCGTTTCCCTGTCCCGAGCCTGACGCGCCTTCTCTCCCTCTGCCAGTGCAGTCCGCGCTCCCCTGACCCATCCCGCCGCACGCCCCTGACCCGGATCAGCGAGTCCAGCGCCGGGCCATCCAGGCACGTGAAGTTTTGCAGGAGCGCCCACTTGTCGTGCTGGAATCTGGCGCTGGAGTCCTGTGCCGCGGGGCTTTCCAGCACCCAAAACACGCCCGTGCCCAGTGCCAAGTAAGACAGGTAGGCAAGCAGCAGGAGCAAGGTGCCTGGCACCCTACAGCCCCGGGCCCTGCCCTCCCGCGCCATCTGGGCTCGTGGTCTGGACTTAGCAGGAGCGGCAGGGAGGCCAGCGCCAGGAGCCACGGACTCGGGCTAAGGCAGAAAGCAAAGGCTAGGAGTTGGGCTGGTCCCTTCTCTAGCCAACGCCTGCCTGTGCCCAGTTTTCTCAGCAGGGGGGCGTTCTAAGGGAAGGGACAGCCTTGCCCCACCCCACCCCAGGATCCAATCCCAGGGACAAAAAGAGGTCTCAGCTGTGGGCATCTGGCCCCGCCTATAATCTGTATGGAGTGCTCACCCCCCAGGCCTAGCTCAGGGAGCTGGGGAAGGCTGCTGGGTGACAGCATGCACCGAATAGGAACGGGCCTGGGGCCTCTGCAGCCTGTTCTGTGGCAACAGTGGGAGGGGCTCCTGGAGACCGCACTCAACAGGAAGAGAAAGCAGAAGCCAAGTTTATTGTCTTAGGGCCCCTGCTTAAGTACTTAGACCTTGAGACTATTGCCAAGGACTTGATGCGAGTCCTCCTTGGGCCTTTTACTCAACCACCCTTTCCTTTGTGTCCCCAAAGATGAGGAACCCCAGCTGATCACCCCTTGTCCATGAGCTTGGGAGGCAAGGGAAGCCTTGACTAGTGGGCTTGTTCATTCCCTGCTTCTGAAGAGGCCCCCTTAACTCCCTCCCACACCCAGAGTGGAGGAAGGGTCCAGGGTATCTAAGGAGTGTCTGGGAGACCTCAGTTTCCCAGGCCTCTCCTCCATATCAGGAAGTCCTGGTGTGTAAACTCTAGCTGGTGTAGCTCCTTCCCTGGGTGTCCCATCTGGCACTGCCTCTGCTTCATAGTCTTCTCTCAGTCTTGTCCAGAGGTCCCCTGGCACTTGTGGGCCTGCCTTGCTGGGAGAGGTAGGGGCTGAGTTTTGCAGTCATTGGTGAAGCTGGGCCTTGGGATGGGCTGATTTAAATCTCTCCTCTCCTTCTGGCCAGAGATGTCCCATCCGGCAGGAGGAAGGCCAGGGCTGCAGAATGCATTCCCAAGGGAGACCAGGCCTCTACAGAGCTCATTTCCTGGAATTTTGCTGTGATCTTCCCAGGGAGTGTCCAGAAAGGGTCTTAAGAAGACAGAAGTCCAGAGGAGGGTAGTGATGTCGAAAGGTGTCCTTGAGGGGTCAGGGGAAGCCATGCCCAGGAAAGTGGATGGGACACCCACAAGCTCCTAAGCTTTGTCTTTGGACAGCTCTAGACCTCTAGGCAAGGGAAACTGGCGCCATGGCTTTGAGAGACAGCTGCACTGAGGGCACATATCCTGTTTGCACGTAGCTGCTGCACAGTCCCTGCCCAGCCATTCCCAGGGGCTCTTGTCATACCTGGTGTGCCCTGCCATCATAGGATTTTGGGCACTGGGTCAGTGTTGCCCCTCTGTTTGCCAAGTCCTTCCATTTGACTCAATGTACATGGAGGGCAGGAACTTCCACTGTCATATCTTGGGCGCCTGACACATGGCAGCCTGACAAATGCACACTGTGCATGTATCAAATGAGGCAACAATAAAATCACCCTTTGTTTGCTGTCCTGGATAAGGTCTCCTGGGAGGGAGACGCAGGGAGGGCATGGAGATTTGGCTACAGTGATCCACGTCTGGATTCAGCTTTTCCAGGTCACTTTTGAGAAAGGGGTTTTGGGACAGCAGTGTACATCTTACTCCACACACATCTCTTTGATCCTGCCTCGACATCTCCTTTCTGTTGTTTTCTTGGACACTCCTGTCTCTGTGCTTTATCTGGGGAGTTCCTTGAAACCAGCCCTGGTTGGGAAGTGAGTGGGTTGGGAGAGGAGGTGGCGGAGCAGGAAGTCCAAATGGTGTATTGGGTAGTGGGGGGAGTGGGAGGGGCTCCTGGGGCCACGGGGCCTCATGCAGAGATGGGGATCTTCTGGGGCCTGGGGGGGCCATTGGTCTCAGGGGCTCCCCCTTCCTTGAGGCTGAGACCCCTGCTGAGCAGCCAGAGCTGGGAGCACCTGTGCAGAAGCAGGGGGCCTAGTGGGAAAACCAGCGCCAGCCACGCCAGGCCCAGGAAGATCCAGATGGCTGCCAGGCTCCGGTACACAGAGATGTAATGCTTGCTGGGGTCCATGCCTGGCAGGGAAGGGGGGACATGATAAATGCCAGTGGTCTGAGGACACAACTACCCTCAGGTTCCACAGGGGCCCCTGCCAGCCTCTCCATAACAAGGATCAGCAATGGAGGTCCCTGGGGGAAAGGGCAATGGGTCGAAGACCAGTGACTTCTGAGGATGTTGTAAGAATCCACAGCAGCCTCACAAGCCAATCATCTTCCCTGAATAACCAAGGGCTATCTGATCCTCAGCAGCTACCCTCTGCTGACACCTCCCCGTTTCCTGAATGCCGGCGGCCCCCACCCTGAGATACGTGACTGCCTTATTCTTACCGATCACATAGTCCCCAAAGCCGATAGTGCTGAGAGTGATGAAGGCAAAGTAGAAGCCCTCACCGAGGCTCCAGCCCTCCACATGGCTGAAGACCATGGGTGGGAAGATGAGAATGACCAAGGTCCCCAGGGTCAGGAACAGAGCCAGGCCCAGGATCTGCAGCAGCTGGGAAGGAGAGAGTCTTTCTCTGAGTCCATTTGGAAGGCTCCAGGATTGTACGGTGGTGGTGGGTCCTGGGGCAAATTTGGGAGTGGGACTGGGCCACAGCTATATCCCTTCTCTGCCCTGCAGACCTTTGGGGTGGAGACTGTATCTCTGTGTATGTGATTTTGCCCAGGCTGCAGAAATCTTTGGTCAGAAGGGTTGCATAGGTTGGTCAAGTTGGAATTCGGAGACTCCTTTGGGTCTGGGGATCATACTTGTACAGGCCTACCCAGAGACTCAAATCTGGGATGGAGGATGGTCACTGAAACATCCACACTCTGTACTCCTAGCGTGCCTGCCTTTGCAAGGGGGTGGGTACTGGCAGTTTGCCGAGTGGCCTAGAGTTTGTTTCAATCATGGGAAGGGATATTGGAGTTTTGTGATGACCACAGAGATGCACCACTCGGATGCGCCTCAAGGGAGGCCTTGTTAGCCAGGTGTCAGCAGGCAGCCTCCAGCTCTCAACTCCTTTGGGGTGTACTTCAGCTATAGAGAACTGCCTGGCCCATGGGCATACCTTTCCCAGGAAGGCAACCTGGTGCCTGATTGAGCAGGGGTATGAAGTCTTGGCCATTTCAGCCACTGTGGGGCAATTCTGATGGCTCCCACACACTGCAGAGCCCTTTGAGGGGCTGTCCAAGACTTTGTCTGGCTCATATGGCAATCCATTTCTCCCTCTGCCCAATCCTCTTCTTCCATGGATGTCTCCATGGAATACCCTGCTCACCAAACTGATCTCAGTGTCAGTTTCTAGGGGATTCAACCTGCAACACGTTCTGTCACAGGAGGGCTGGAGGGAGAGAGAGACCCTACCTGGGAGCGCCTGGGCTGGTCCTCCCACCTGTTGAGGGTGGCCAGGTGGGAACGCAGCCCTGTGCCCAGGTGGTTGAGAAACATCACGTTGAGTGGGATGCCCACCAGGGCATAGAAGACACAGAAGACCTGGCCTGCCTCCGTGCTGGGTGCCAGGTTACCATATCCTGTAGGGAGAGGAGTGTGCAAATATGGAGAAGAGATAGTCTAGAACTGCCTCCCCCATAGACTTTAGCAGAGCTTGGTCTTCCACCGCCTATGGGAGGTACAGGGGAAGTTCACCCATTCGCATGAACACTTTTTCCACCCTCTTGTTAGATGATCTCTATTCATTAGACTCCTGCTTGTCTTTGAAGGCCCATCTCCAATGACATTGCCAATGACACTGCCTACAGGAAGCCCTCCCAACTGCCACCTTCTTCCTCCCTACTAGGTGTGATTACCCATAGTACTTTCTGTCATTTCTATCTAATTATCTACTTTGCCTTGTACTATTGTTTTTGGTGTACTTGTCTTATTCATCTTCATTGGCTTGGAAGCTCCTTGAGGGCCCAGCCTGGATCTGACCTAATTTGTACCCCCTTCCTCCTCCATCTGCTTTGAAGGTCCCCTGAGCTCAAGGAAGGTGTATGGAATTGGACTTAATTGAATGGATGGGGAAACTGGGGTCAGTAGGGGCCTGGGGGTTTCCTTGTGGGAGGTTGTGTGGGTTTTTTGTCTGAAGGGGTGTAGCAAATGGTGTCAGTTTTCTCTTGGGACACCAAGTGTCACCTGCAGCTTGCTGGTGATGTTTTCCCACCTCATGTCCTGCATCTCTCGGCCTGAGAGGTTTCTCTGGCCACAGGAGTGTGCTTGGTCTGTGGGCAGGTCTAGGATCAGCTCTCCACCAGCGAGGGCAGGAGTTGGTAGATAAATACTCTCACTCTCACCCCTCAAAGGGACTGTTCTGAGCATGGGCTCTACCTAGTGTCCCAGAGGGTCCCAGTGGGAGTGGCCACTCACCCTCACTAGTAACCGGCTCACTAATGCAAACTTTATTGCCTTTTCTCCCTTTCCCATTTCACTTTCCCACTTCTGTACTCCTGCTTCCTGGAATCATCTTCTAGATAAACCACATCGTGTCTCAACATCTGTTTTTGGGGAATTCAAACTAGGATAGGGACTTTGGGGAAGCCCTTCTCCACCCGGACCCTTTACCTATGGTGGTGACGACTGTGCCTGCAAAGAAGAAACTGCTGCCGAAGTCCCAGTTGCTGGGGTTGGTGGAGTTGCCCTTGGGGTTCACACCCTTCACCCAGGCTTCCATGATGACCTGTGGGGGGCAGCATGGGGTGGAGGAGCAGGGGAAGAGGCACTGGCTGTTATCCCAGCTCTCTGCAGGTGCTTTCCTGTCATCTCATTCGACGACATTCTTAGTCTCCTTTCCATTTTGTGTAAAAGGAAACGGAGGCTCTGAGTAGCTAAGTGACCTGCCCAAGGTCATTAGCTTCCAAATCCACTCTTCTCCACTGGCCAGGGCTAGCTGAGGTGTGGGCTGTAAGCATGGGCTGGTGGGGGGGAAATGGGCCTGAGGAGGAGTGGTCCAGGTGGAAGATGCTGCCCATGGCCCAGAGGGCGAGATGCAAGTGCACCATCTGGACAATGGGAGGATCTCAGGTTGAATGTTCCTGGAAGGGTTTACTTGGGAATGTGAGGTTTGGGGGCCAGAGGGAGCATGGGGCTGCCTTTCTGTTGAATTGATGGTGGGAGACAGAGAGCCTCTGTGTGTTCTCTGTGCTTCCAGGTGAGCTGGCAACCTCGCTCTCTGCTGTCCCCAAGTGAGTCCCTGCCTACACCTAAAGAGAAATTCCATCAGAGGCCAGGGCATAGGACCTGTGTGTGTGTGTGTGTGTAGTGGTGGTGCTGTATATGTGTGGTATGTGGTATACATGTGACATTTGCATGTGTACTGTGTGTTGCATCTGTGTGCATGCTTATGTGATTGTGTATGTTGGGTGTGTGTTTACAGAACCTGAGCACTTGCAGGGTTGAGCCTGAGCCCCTCCTGAGGTCCTGAGGCCGGCCTCCTTGGAGATGGTGGGGCTCCCTCCCCCATCTGCTTCTCACCTCTCTCCCCTGCAGCCGTGAACTGTCCCAGGGCAGCAGTACAAGCTTGCCTCTTGTACTGGAGGTGGAGGGATGGACGGAGGAGGTGGTGGGGAAGGGGTGCATGGGCCTCTACTTCCTGTGGGGACCGTTTTCTCCCTGGCTGGGCGAATGTGCTCCGGGCAGGGTGGGGTGGCAACAGTGGGCCAGGCGGGTCTGGGTGTCCTGACACAGGCAGTCTGCTTTTCCTCACTTTGGCAGAAATGGCTTTTTTTTACATGTGGACTTTGGCCTCCCTCTCTTTCCCACACATGCAGAGAGGCCAGGACAGGACATTCTGGAATTGCACCCACTCCCTGGAGGCCCTCCTCCTTGGGAACAGCTCTTGTCTTAGACCCAGCTACCCCCACAGCCAGCCTGAAGTTCCCTATCCCGCTAAGGGGGGGCTTGATGTCATCAAGGGTACCGAGTGTGGGCCTCCAAGTGTGATCTTCCATTCTTGTCCTGATCCCTTCCCAGCCCTGATAGGGGTGTCATGGCCCCAGCTCTGTACTGCTGGAGAACAAGGAAATGAAGTCTGAGGCCAGAAGCCTCATTTCCCAGAAGAAGGCCTGGACGGGTCTCTCACAGCTCCAGAAAGTCCTCTCTGACCACCCAGCCTACCAGTCAATCTTCTAGGCCAGATGTTCTCTATCTTGAGGGGGTACCGGTGTCACCTGGAGGGCTTGTTCACATGCAGAGGTCCTGGTCCAGTGGGCCTGAGGTGGGGCACGATCAGTGGCATTCCTCAGGAGCCCCCAGGCCATGCTGAAGCAGCTGGTCCATGGGCCTCGCTTTGAGAACAGCTACTTTAGGCTGCGCCCCGCCCCCATCACTTACTGCTAATATGCACAGTGGGAGCTCTGTCTCCACCACTGACCTTGAGCTGACATTCTCCACCTCTGTGCCTCAGTTCCCATCTACAAACTGGAGCTAGTGATAGTAATAGGTAATAATGAGGAAACACATGTAAAATGCTTGGCCCCTGTTCCCACTGTTTAAGGCACATTGTAAATGCTCAACAAATGCTAATTATCATTGTGATGACTGTGCACCTGGCTTGTTCCTTTGTGATGGGTGTTGTCATGTGCTCATCACTGATCCCCCTTCACACCCCCGCACCCCGCCCCACAGTCTGGAATGCATTTATCTTCCCCCACAACACCGGGTCTTGCCTTGTTTCTGGGAGAGAGGGTGCTGGGGCCCTGGAATTTGTACAGGGAAGCAGAAGGGACCCTGGTAGGGGGTGACTGCTCTGCCACCAGAGAGACACCCTGGCCACTCCCCGAGCCCAGCTCCAGGTGGCATGAGACTGGGGAGGGCCGGCATGGCAACAGCTCCTGACCTTTATCTGACTCTCCAGTGCAGTGAGCACAGGCAAGCCAGAGGGAAGAGGGCAGGAGCGGTAGTCCACGGCTGGGGTTAAGGGCGCACAGAAGGAAATGTGCACTGGCACAGCACAGAGACCCAGCTCATGTTGATGCAGCAGGTGCAGCTTACAAGGTGCTTCTGATTTATGACAAATGTCTGCAGCACGTATAAAATCATTCTCCTCACCTTACAGACAAGGGAATTTGGGACCAGCAAGGTTAAGTGACTTGCTCAATGTCACACAGTGATCTAGTTGTAGACCTGGAGCCAGAATCCAGCATGAAGTCTTACCTGGCTTTCTGTCCCACCACATACTGCTTTCAAACAGGGCATTAGCCCTGAGTGGTGACTCTGGACCTGCCATGAGAAGCCCCATTCTGCCCACCAGCCCGCACCAGCCCTTCCCGTCACCTGCACAAACTGCTCCAGAGCTCTTGGGTCCAGGCAGGTGTAGTTCTCCAGGAAGCGCAGCTTCTCAAACTGAAACTGGTCCTTGGACTGAGTCTCTGCCTGCTTCTCCAGCAGCTGGAAGATGGTGGCACCAAGCAGCAGGTAGCAAACGTAGGCCATCAGCAGGGGCAGCACCCGGCGGCCCCAGCAGCTGCAGAATCCAGCGCGGGGCATGGCTTGGCCAGGGCTCTGCCAGGGCTGTGGAGCTGGCTGTGGAAGGAGAGGCGGGAAGCACCCAGGGACCTGCGTCCTCCGGGTCTTGCCTTGTTTCTGGGAGAGAGGGTGCTGGGGCCCTGGAATTTGTACAGGGAAGCAGAAGGGACCCTGGTAGGGGGTGACTGCTCTGCCACCAGAGAGACACCCTGGCCACTCCCCGAGCCCAGCTCCAGGTGGCATGAGACTGGGGAGGGCCGGCATGGCAACAGCTCCTGACCTTTATCTGACTCTCCAGTGCAGTGAGCACAGGCAAGCCAGAGGGAAGAGGGCAGGAGCGGTAGTCCACGGCTGGGGTTAAGGGCGCACAGAAGGAAATGTGCACTGGCACAGCACAGAGACCCAGCTCATGTTGATGCAGCAGGTGCAGCTTACAAGGTGCTTCTGATTTATGACAAATGTCTGCAGCACGTATAAAATCATTCTCCTCACCTTACAGACAAGGGAATTTGGGACCAGCAAGGTTAAGTGACTTGCTCAATGTCACACAGTGATCTAGTTGTAGACCTGGAGCCAGAATCCAGCATGAAGTCTTACCTGGCTTTCTGTCCCACCACATACTGCTTTCAAACAGGGCATTAGCCCTGAGTGGTGACTCTGGACCTGCCATGAGAAGCCCCATTCTGCCCACCAGCCCGCACCAGCCCTTCCCGTCACCTGCACAAACTGCTCCAGAGCTCTTGGGTCCAGGCAGGTGTAGTTCTCCAGGAAGCGCAGCTTCTCAAACTGAAACTGGTCCTTGGACTGAGTCTCTGCCTGCTTCTCCAGCAGCTGGAAGATGGTGGCACCAAGCAGCAGGTAGCAAACGTAGGCCATCAGCAGGGGCAGCACCCGGCGGCCCCAGCAGCTGCAGAATCCAGCGCGGGGCATGGCTTGGCCAGGGCTCTGCTAGGGCTGTGGGGCTGGCTGTGGAAGGAGAGGCGGGAAGCACCCAGGGACCTGCGTCCAGGCTGCTGCCTGCCTCACCCTCCTCAGCACAGGTGTCTGCAGGCTGGGGAGTCTGTTTGAACAATGTGGCTCAGCTTGGCTGCGCTAAGTGCCACAAGTGCAAACAGGCCTGCCACCCCCCACCCAGCCCTTTTTTTTCCAGGGAGAATAGCAGGCCAGTGGCACGGACCCCTCGGGGAGACCTACCGGGTCCTTCCGAGGCCACCATGGCTCACCCTCTGGCTCCGAGTTGGGTACTTCTGGGCCAGATCTGATGCTCCCTTTCACTCTGTCCAGGCCCAAATGGGCCCCCTCGGCAGCCCCCAGCTTTTCACCATGATGGCCTCAAGCCCCCAAGCTTAGGAGCTGGGAAGAAGTCAGAACGGGTGTGGATAAACCTTGTACTCAGTTGCCTGGGGTACAAAATGGGGTTAAGAAAATTGGCCTGCCTATTGGGGGAACCCGAGATTAGTAAACTGGGTGACAAATCATGGCAAAGTAAATAGACAAATGACTCTCTTAATCAGGAACATATCAGGGTTGATGCTCCTATTAAGTCAGATGCATTTGCCCCGTAGCTCTTGCCAATGATATTCCTTGCTTGCAATGCTTCCGCTGATTCCCCTCACAGGATGGTATGTTGGTGGGATGTATGTGTGAATAAAGAAGCGAAGTGTCTCCTGGCCCTGGGACAGCGTCTGCTCTCGGGGAGGTGAATCTGAGGGTGTTATCCTCTTTCTCTTCCTTGCTTCTGTGTGTATTTGCAATAGATTTATTGGGATATGATTCACACACCAGACTATTCACACATTTAAAGTATGCAACTGAATGGTTTTCAGTATGTTCAGAGTCATGCAGCTATCCCTACGAACAACTTTACAACATTTTCATCACCCTGAAGAGGAATCCTGCCCCCTTTAGCCATCATCCCCCATCCACCCAGCCTGTTGCAACCATTAATTTGCTTTCTGTTTGTGGATTTCTGTATTCCAGACAATTCATATAAGTGTGCTCATACTAAGAAGCCTTTTGTGTCTGGCTTCTTCCATCAGCATAAGGTTTTAAGGTCCATCCATGTTGTAGCATGTCAGTCCCTCATTCTTCTTAATGCCTGAATCATATTTCACTGTGTGGATATACCAACATTTTATTTATCTATTTATCAGTTATAGACATTTGGGGCTTTTCCACTTTTTGGCTATAATGAATAATGATGCTATGACTATTAACCAAGGTTTTGTGGTGATGTATGTTTTCATTTCCCTAGAGTCTATACCTAGGAGTGGAACTAGTGGGTCATATAGTCACCCTACATTTAACTTTTTGAGGAACTGCCAGACCATTTTCCAAAGTGGCTGCACCACTTTACATGTCCCACAGCAGTGTGTGAAGGTTCCAGGTTCTCTGCTCATGTTTTCTGATAGGGGACACCATGAGTTGCCGGCCCCATATTCTTTCCCTCCTTCCTGGGTAACAGAACCCCATGTTTGTACCTGTCAGCCCCAGGCAGTGGAGCCTGACTGGTCTAACCCATCATGCCAATTCTGCTCCCCGCTGTCCCGGGCTGGCTTCTCCAGGAGCAGCCCTGAGAGGAGGGGTTGTGTGTCAGCAGTGGAGTAAGTGAAGACAGATATGGGCGTGGGCAATAGGCACGCTAGCGCCAGCGCAGCCTGGTTCCCGGAGAGCCCTGGTTTATAGAGCACACCCCTTAAGTCCCAGTGGAGGCAGGGGAGCCACACTTTCATATTCTCCCACCAGCTGGCCATCCGGGAATCTTGGGTTTTGTGCATCAGCAGACAAAACTGCTCCGGTGGACAGTCCACTGCAGACTCCCAGGGGCAGGCCGGGCCTTTGAAAGCCAAAACACATGAAAGCAGGGAAAAGGGAACAGAAGTGGGGGTAATCAGAGGATTGACAGTGTCCCTTGCACCTACTTTCCAAGCTCCCTTGTAGCTGGACAGCCATGTGACCCAGTTTGTCCATTTAGGTCTGGGCAGGGTGGGCTGTGAGATGTGGGGCGTAGTGGAGCTGTCCTGATCAGGGGGTCTGCTGCAGCCACCCACCTTTCCCCCTGTGCCCTGAAGTCACAGGTGACCCTGCCAGCCACCTTGTGTCCTTGAGGGGAAGGTCAAGAGCACAGCAAAGATGCCCAGCGGATTCCTACACATCTATCTCTAGATTCCAAAGGTGTGAGAAACATAAACCCTATTTGTTTAAGCCACTGCTAGGCATTCTGTTGCTTCCCAATGGTTACATAAGGTTTTTTTTAAAAAAATTGTTCAAGGCTTATTTGAGTTGGAAGGAATAGGAACACACTCCAGTTATCTCAAGTAAATTAAATAATTTACTGTAGGAAGCCAGGAGCCAGGGCTCTCACTGCTAACTCTCCACTGTTCCGTGCCTGCCCACTCCCCTCCGGGTGCCCCTGCGCTGGTCCCAGCTGCCCTGTCTCTGTGCCCCAGAGATCTGCTCCAGGATGGCCCCCAGCATCTGCGCAGCATCAGCGCCTATGCCCTCTGCTTTTTTCTCTTGGTATTTCTTGGTTCAAATCCTCTGTGATAAGGCTGAGCCCAAGAGCACCTTTTCATGTGGGCCACTTCCCAGGTGTCTGCCAGTCTTTGGGTCAAACACTACCCTTGGCTGATCTGCCCCAGTCGGGGTGGAGGCATCCCACCTACAGGTGTCACTTGGAGGGGACTATTGGGAGGCAGGCACTGTGGCCAGAATGTCCAGGACAAGCAATGATGGTTTCTGAAAAAGGGAGGGAAAGACAGAGACAGAGACAGACAGAGACAGAAGTATCTTAAAGAAAATAAAAGCAAAGGGGAGAGTTACTGTTTTCATGTATGGGAATGATCAGGAGAGTGGTGGCAACATAGGGTTTTTCATCTGCATTACGGCCAGAACCAGAACAGTAGGTAACAGGGACCCAAGGTGCATGCAGAGACATGGAGGTTACGTTAGGGACATCCGGACACTGTGAGAAGTGCTGAAGGCAGGTGTCCTTCACAGCACCTCCTCCATCCTGTGGTTTAGGTGGGGCCTGTGTGTTGGGGTGGAAGCCGCCTTCTCTGCCATCCTGCTGATTCTGGGCCCATGGAGGCTATACGGGGATCTAAAGCCACCCGTACAAGGCCCTTCTCACACCAGAGCTTTCCCAGACAGCACCATGCCATGATGTGAGCTTATCTTGGAGGGAGAAGAAAGCATGGGGAGTGACAAAACTTGCCCTTGACTGGTTTTCCTCTGTGGTTTGGAGAGATGGGGCAGCAGAGTGCTGGCTGTCATCTTGTCTGTACAGACTCGCTGATTCCTGGCTTTAAGCTAGGGCTGTAGTTACACCTGCACGGCTGTGTAATAACCAAATCCTATGCGATTGCCCTAGAAAGCTCAGATGTGAAGAGTTCTCTTGGATATCATTTAGAAATCTCAGCTGTTGATGTCTGGGGAATCTCAGGCAGGTCTCAGCAACCTCTTCAGCCTTAGCATCCTCAATGGTCTGGACTCTGTCCATGGGTAAATGTGGTTGTGCTAAGGTGGAAGGAAATGGAGGGAAAGAGAATAAACAGACCATGTGCATGGGAGAAAGGGGCGAAAGCAGTGGGCCAGAGGCAAGTCTGTGATGTGCTAGGGAGGAGCGGGGCTCGATTGGCCAGCACTGGCACCTCCCTCCCTCAGCAACCCGCAGGCAGGAAGCGGTGCCGGGTTCACTGCGGGAAGGCACTCCATCCACTTACGGACTACCTATGGAAAGCCGCCTGTGTGCCAGCAGGTCACCACACTGTGGCCCCTGCCACCTGTCCTGGCTGCCCTTTCTCTCCACTTCTGTGCTCCTTCCCCTTCGCTCTCTCCCGGCTGCACCCCTCACAGCCTCTCCCAGGCCACCCACAGACCTGAGGGACATTACCTGATGGGAGTGTAGGAGAGTCTTCTTCAGGATTACGTCCAGTTTAACGGAGGCCTTCTGAAAACCCCAAGGCCTCACAGCCAAGGAACAGTAACATGCTGGTGGACCTGGTGGGTGCAGCGGTCAACGTGAAGCACAGCGCCACAGAGCAAGCCCCCCAACTCCCTGCTCCTTCCCTCATTCAGTGCCCACTCTGGATAGCCCTGTGTCTTGGGACCTGGTTCAGCTGCTCCTTCTGGCTGGCCATGACCTCACTTGATCAGGCTCAGAAGGGAACCTGCAGGGCCAAGGGGACCCCCCCCTGCCCTTCAGGCATCTCATCTCCCTGCCTGACACCTCCCCACATAGGCACCACTCGCTGTGAGCAATGGATGGACACCGGGCATGATTTATAATCCCTTTCAGGGAACTATTGCTGCTAATGGGCAGAGCCAGTTTGTGCTTCCCAAGGGGGAGGGCAAAATCAATTAATGGAGAGTCTAACATGGCCAGGCCTGCTGGTAGAGTGTGGCCTGACATCCGGCCATGATAAGGGACTTTCTGAGGCTGAACTAATAAGGAGAAGGNAAAAAAAAATAATCCCCCCCCCCCCCAGATCAATTTCATGTACAATGGGCAGAGAGAATGCAGAGTAAACAGCAGCTGGGCATGGCCTCTTTCCATCTGAATGAGCCCTGAGATAAGGAAAAGGACAGGCCACCCACCCCACCATCCAACATCGGTATTCACTTAGGGAGTCACCCAATAGGTGCATATCCGTACAAACGAAAAAGGGCACGTTCCAAACCGGAGCTAAAGGGAGAAGATAAGGCCCACCTGTCCCAGGTACATCCTCTGCAGAGAAAAGGCAGGTGAAGAGGAGGAGCCCTGGTCTCGGGTTCTGCTGCCCTGAGCCCACCTATGAGAAGGCACCATGGGCCCAAGGGACAGGTTCCGTATGAGGCTGGGCTGCTTGCCTTCTCCCCACAGTGCAGGGTGTAGGAGCGCATCCTGTGTGCAGGCAGGAATGGTGCAGTCTGTGGGCTTCTGCCCTCATGGCCAGAGAGTATGATCTCAAGGGCCAGTGACCATGGGACCAACAGAGGATGAGGAAAGCTGAGGGGTGATTCAAGGGAGAGGCCCCAACCAAATAAACACACCTGTCACCGATCTTGTTCAGAAATTCCCACTGTGTTTTGGAGCAGCAGGATTCCTTTGTCACATGAAACCTCCCCTGAGCCCCAGTATACAGCCCAGATCAGAGCTGGTCTTTGGTTGAAGCTGGGGAGGGGCGCTCCCATTTTCACTGGTCCCGAGAGTTGGATGGCGAGAACCCCCGCTCCCATGATTTTGAAATAGATGCCCTTGGACTTACCTTCAATCAGATCCTAAAGCAAAATTGGAGTGTGAATAGTTCATCCTGAGGAATGATCCCAAGAGAGTGGGGAGGAGAGATGGGGGCGGGAAGGCAGCCAATCCAGGGTGTGTTTTTGAACAGGTGAAAGCTGTGGGCAGGTAGGCTCAGACCCTGGTGACCTTGGGGAGACTGGAGAACATGCCTCAGGGTCGTCCCACAGGGTGGCAAGGGAGCTGGGGGGCCCATCCACCAAGTCCCGTCCTTCCTAGTGGAGGACCGCTCCAGGGGAGGCTAACTCCTGCACTGCCAGCCTGCCCTGCACTTGCGCCGAGAGGACTCCTGTGGCCAACGGGAACCTTTAGTTAGGTAGGGACACACAGGCGCTAGGGCCTGGAAGCTCTCAGACATGACTGCCAGGAGGGCCAGGGGGCATGGGCAGTGTCGGTCTCAGTCTCTGAGTTTTCTGGGTCTTTACCTACTTTTCCGGGTCTGTGGTTTGTAACTTCTGCAGGCAAGTACTCACCTGTGAAGCTTAATGGAGGGGTTGGTCAGCTTGTCCTGGCACCTCAGGCAGATGCCGCTGGGAGCGCAACAGGGGTGGGAGGACCATGCCTATCTCCTTGACAGCTACTAAATTTGAAAAAAGGGAAAAGAGGGTTGGTAAAGATGCACTGGATACCTCATACTAAAGAAGCCCATGCCTCCTTCCCTCTACGTGCTGTGGAAAAACCTGGAACTGCAAGAGACATTGGAGTTTGAGCAGCAGTGAACCCGGGAGGATATGGATCCCCCAGCTCCACATAGATGAGGGGTGCTGGCCAGGACAGACTTCACCTTGGCCCCCAGGGAGGGGCAGAGCCTGCAGCAGAGAACGAACTGAGGAACTGAAGTAGCAGAAAGCCAGGGTTGGTCCTGGCTGTGTGGGGTCATGCCAAATATTTTTTGTGGGCCCTTGGGGAGCCTTGGTCACTCAGGATAATTAAAAAAATGTACTAAATGCAGAAGGCACATAGTGGATCTCTGGCATCTTGCTGCACTGATGGACAGTGACTGCATTGGGGTATGGGTGGGGACTTGATAATATGGGTAAATGTAGTAACCACATTGTTTTTTCATGTGAAACCTTCATAAGAGTGTATTATCAATCATACCTTAATAAAAAATTTAAAAAAACGTACCAAATGCATGAGTCCATGTGAAGTATGGTGATTTATTGGTGAAGGTTTAGAATGTTGTAGAGCAGATACTTACGGGTTTGTAGTCTAATCGGTGTCTGCGAAGATTCTTTGTCCCATGTCTGAGGGTTGCTTGGATCACATCAGCACCATTCTGTAGCCTGATCTCAAGGAATGTCAGGAAGGAATGCAGTGCCACTCAGCAGGAATGATCTCTTGGAATTGGGGACTAGAGGCCCCAGGGCAGCTCCGCAGACATGAATCCTAGAGCACTTTGGGGCATCTGGCCAACCCCATGAATGAGTTGAGTATTCTGTAGGGAGAAGAGGGAACCGAGGCTTATGGGTTGGGGAGGGGCTGGTCTGGGCTAGGGATGGCCTGCATGGATGACATCATTGGTGGTGGCAGGTTCCAGCACTGAAGTGAGACTTAGGAACTATCTGGCAAAGCACTTCAAGGTGCGGGGTCCTTCGAGGCATGGCTGAGGGTATCTCCTTGCCTGGTTCTAAAGACAGTGATGGAAAAGCAAACCCCAGAGATATTTCAAGGAAGAGAAGATAACAGAATCTCACACCTGGGACTAGAGAGGGAATGGGGTTGGTCTGGGGAAGGGCTGCCTTCTCTACACTAGGAGGCAAGGACATTAAAGGGGAAGGGTGTTTTCTGTCTGCTCTTTGCCCCGAGTTCCCCCTCGATGTTTATAAAATTGGCTCAGTCCTGCTGGCTCACAGTTAGCCATGGAAACCCAAAATAAAGTAATTAATCTGAAAGAGGTTGCTGCCTCCTCCCTCGCTGTGAGAGAAGCCCCCAGAGCCAGGGCTGGAGGTGGCCCTTCACACAGGAGCAGAGCTTCTGGTAAGGGAAACACTGCTTCGCCTCCCACACTGTGCACAGACAGTTATACCTCCCCTGCCTTAAGGCCTGGCAGCCCCTAGAATCAAGTCATGGAATAACCTCTCCCCTATATTCGTAGATGGCTCAAATTGCCCATGTGCCATGCTCTGTGTTCCTAGTTAACTGCTCAGCCCCAGGCCTCCTCACATCACTGAACCCTTAACCTGTCATCTCATCTTAAGCCTGCCTCCTCTGCCTTCCTCTCTGCACCCTACCCTGGCTCTCACACGCTCAACCCACCTTGACAGTGAGCCCAAACCCACTGTATCCCACCCTCAACTCCTTCTTAGCTCAGATTCTCTTGTCCACTTGTTTACTGTCCACTATCCCCATTAGAGGGTAAGTTCAGAGGTCTGACACTCTGTCTTGGTCCCCACTTAGCACAGTGGATGGCACAGCCTTGTAAAAAGAATGACCAGATGAATGAATCGTGTTTCCATTTAAGGAATTATATGGGGAATCTTTAAACACACACCCATTGCATTTTTTAAAATGTCTCTATTTATTCATCAGTGTCATTCCTGGGTCTGTTTCTATTTCTGTTGAGTGACTTCTCTCCTATAGGCCATATTTTTCTGCTTCTTTGGAGGCTGGTAATTTTTTAAATTGGATGCCACGTCTGCATCACTGGGGGCTGGATTTTTCCCTTAAACATTTTTTTGAGTTTTGATTTGGGACTCAGTCAAGTTACTTGGAAACAGTTGGACTCTTTTGAGGCTTACTTTCTGAGTTTTGTGAGGCAAAACCAGAACAGCTTTCATCTCGGGCTAACTGAGCCCCACTTCTGAGGCAATACCCTTTCGTAAACTATTCCCAGCCCCATGTTTCCCCGGAAACGCTCCTTCCTGGTGGGTCTTCCCCCAGCCGGGAATGGTTTCCTCACGTGTGCAGCGGTCGGCAGTTAGCTGAGTGCTCCCGAGTACCCCGAGGACCTCTCTTCCTCTCCCTCTGCAGCCCGCTCATCTCTGGTATTTTGCCTCACAAATTGAAGCCACCTTGCATATGACCCTCTTAGCAGGACACCAGTGTCCCAGCTGTCTGATTTTCTCTCTTTCGTTTCCTCTCTGGCCTTAGTGGTTGCTCCAGGTGGTGCGTTCACCCCCGGCCTGGGGCGACACCGCACATTTCTGTCAATAAAGCCTTTGGATCCAGGAGATAACTTCTCAGCAGGAGATCTGAAGTCAATAGACTCTGACCAGCTCTAGCTGGGTGAGGGCATTAAGGTGTGCCAAGTATCCTGAGGCTGTTTCTGAGGGACTCTGGCCCACTCTACGCAGCTTCAGGACTCTTGAGAGTGTGTGTATTTATGTGTGCCCTGCAGATTCCTGGAGAGGCTTTTAGAATCAGGCTGTAAGGGCTCTGTTTGGTCTTACTCTGGTTCTACCTACCTTACTGAGGACTTACTATGAGCCGTAGAACTATGAGGGCCGGAAGTGAGCCAGAGACTGGGCCCTGCCTTCCTAGGCTTCAGTCACAGAGCCAGAGTGAAGCCCTGCGAGTGACAGCAGCCCGAGGGGCAGGAGAGCTGCATTCTGACTCTGCCGCTCATTAATCAAAGGGGTATGTGTGGAGAGCCACCTTGTGCTGGGGACACAGTGATGCGCAGCAGACAGATGGGTCCCTGTTGTCATGCAGCTTTGATCTTGGTGGGGGGTACAGGTTGCAGGCCATCAAGAAATAAGCAAATAAAGAAAGGCGGTATGTCACATAGTGATGAAGAAAATAAAACAGAGTAATGGGATAGAGAGTAATGAGTTGGGGCGGTCAGGGAAGCCCCCTGAAGAGGGGACACGTGCCACCAGCTAGCTACTTGCAAGCCAGGTCCTTGCCTTTGCTCCGGTTTCCCAGTTATATAAGTGTGGGTGTGGACAAGAGGGGCTCTGTGGGCCCGTCCAGCTTTGGAACGTAACGGTTTGTCTTCTGCATGATCTTTTTACCTGTCTTGAGCGGGATGGGGTGGGGGTTGGAGGAAATAAGCCAGTTAAACTGTGTTCTCTCTGCTCTCCCCCCAGGTGGTGAGGTGCCGAATTTATAGGACAGAGATCAAGGAGCACTGGGCGGCAGCTTTATTCTCTTAGCTTCATTCTTGGTACCGTTCCTGTACCCCGTCCTCCCTCCACACTGCAGCTGGCTTGGAACCTTGCCGCCGTGAGGTGGTGGTTCTCTGCGGGCCTCCTGAGGGTGGGATCTGCATTGGGAGCCAGGCCAGGAGGGCCGAGAGGGCTCCCTGAGACAAGACCCCAGCAGCCACGTTTCCCCCGTGGGAGTGGGGAGTCTCAGTTCCCATCCCGCAGAGCCCCATGTAGCTGGGGGAGGGGGTGAGGTCCAAGGTGCCCGTGTTGCCTCGCGCTCTCTGCAGAGCTGCCGGGAGCCATCCATTGCTCTCTGGGTGCTGCAGCGTCCTTAGACCTGGCAAGGTGGGTGGCTCCCTGGAGACACAGCTGATCAAGGCGTGGCCTCTGTCTCCCGGGCCGTGAGGAGGACAGTGGAGGGTTTGGTCTGTGTGGTCAGGACCAGCTCTCAAGGTGCCCTGCATTCCATTGCCTCATCCTTGGCTCTGATGTCCAGCCTGGCCTGTCGCAGCCATTCCTGGGCTTCTAAACCAGAGGGTGAGACTGGTTAGCGGGCTGGGAAAGAACCGATGATAATTTCCCCTGCATTCTACCAGCGTGAGCTTCCGCTGCCACATCATGATGGCACTATTTCATAATGTCATAGGTTTCTAATTGTCTATGTGAAACACTGCTGCAACAGTGAGCAGAAGCCCTCATGTTGCCCCAGGGCCCTGCCCTTGCCTGGCCCTGCCTCCAGCCCCAGTGCCCACAGCGAGGAGGGCACCATGAGCCCCGCCTCTGCCTCTCTGGCAGCCGCAGGACACCATCCTTAAAGAAGCACAGCTCCCTCCACTGGGGTGACAGTCACCAGTGGCCCCCAGCAGCTCACTGATCATTTCTGAAGCCTGGGCAAGTGAGAGGAGGCACCTTCATCTGTACTCCGTCCTTGCGGCCACAGTGCACGGCTGGACGCTTACTGGAGACCTGGAGGGAGACAGGATGTCCTTGGTCAGGCTGTGCATGGAGGCACTGACCTCCTCTAGGAATGAAGCGTGAGGGGGAAGCTGCGGGTCGTTCCTCCTGGGTCTCCGCAGGGCACGTCTCAGTGCCCTGCCCTTGGGGGCTCCATCTGCTCCCCTGGGCCAGGACCAGCACCTCATTCTCCAGCCCTGCCATTTTCACTGATGCTCCTACTTGATTCCCCGAGAGATTCTCTCCTAGTTTGGGCTCCAGATATTCGTTATATCCCAGGGTGGTGCCTCCTGAGCATGTGGCCCCATCCTGTTACCTCCTGGGAGAAGAGTCCATGGAGTGGAGTTCTCTGGACTCAGAACCAGGGCCCCTGAGTTCTAGCCAGGCTGGTCCCCAACCTGTGGTGTGACTGTGGGCAAAACACGTTAGCTCTCTGGCCCTCACTTTCCTCATTTCCAAATCCGTGGAGCACATGAGGTGCCTAGAAAAAGCAAAGCGGCTGGCATGGCTCCCTGCTTCCCAAAGTGTGGTCTCCACTGGCAGCCCCTGGGAGCTTGTTAAGAGGTGCAGAGTCTCAGGCCCCACCCAGACTCACTGGACCAGAATCTGCATTTTAACAAAACCCCAGAATTCATGGGCATATTACAGTGTGAGAAGAACTGGTATGAGTGACATACAGTTAACTTGCATAAAGTCAGGTTATCATAATATGGGAATACCTGAAGGGATAGTCATACTATCATCATAATAGGATAATATAATAATATAATAAGGGAATATAGAATAATAATATAATATGTGGGATAATAATAGTCATATTAGAGGGATAATATCATAATAAAGGGAATTTCTGAAGATTCTTGGGTGGAGTAAGGAACATGGAGTCTGAAATAATTGCAGAGGCAGCTGCAGCCGTCCGGGTGTGGTCAAGGGGACCTGGCAGGCGCTGGGGAGTGAGAGGCCTGCTTGATGCTGCTGAGGAAGAATGTGTACTTCTTTTGTCACTCATTGAATGTGGGAAGTAACAGAGAGGAAGAGGTCAAGAGCAATTCAAGGCTATAAGCCCTTGGTCCTTCAGATCTGATTCTGTGTGCAGACCCCAGGCTGGCCTCGCTGTTCAATTAAACAGGGACGGTCCTTATTTTGAAGCCATTCTTAGCTGTCCTAACTGACTCCTAGGGCAGGAAGGAGAAGGTCAGCACACCTGAGCTCCTGAAGGTGACGGGTTCCTTCTGGACTCATGGTTCTGTGCCCTTCTGCACGTTGAGAACTCCCAGGCCACTCGGGGGACAGATGAAATCAGACTTTCTGGGGTGGGAACAGCCAGGGCCGAAACCCACTGCTTTCATCTCTATCCCCAGGGTCAGTAAGGGCGGGTACTGGGGACCACCAGCCATGTATGGCTGATGACCAAGTCATGGGTCTGGTGCTTCCTCTGCACCTGACCAGCAGTCAGGGCCCGGATTCGTTAATGCTGCCAGTGGTAGGAGCAGGGAGTCTGAGCCAGCTCCCACGCCAGGACTGTCACTGTCACCCGCCCCCCACCTCGTTTACAGTGATGACTGAGGGTGGGGGCAGGGCTGAGAATAAACACTACCTAGAGTGCATGACACTCCAAGTCATGGTTCTCCACATACACAGGCCTCAACCCCGAATGGAATGAACCCTAGGTAAGGGATGGAGCTGTCAGTCTCTATGGGGATTTTGTGACTGTAGAGTCCTAGGATGGAGGGCACTGCTACAGAACAGCCATTTAACAAGATCACACCTCACTGTGTCGGGCCAGTTCCCACCACAGAGGCCAACTTCTCCCTAACAGCTCCCTGTGCTTAGCAGGGGACAGGGACTCTCATGGACATTATCTCAGGAGAGGCTGACCACCAGGGTGGAGGTGGGAGGAACCTGACAGATGTGGGGAGGAGGCTTGGGGAGGGGACCTGCAAGGTCACACAGCGCGTCCCCAGCTCCTGGTTCTTCCGCTGGCAGGGATCCTGAGCAAAGGACGGAGCAGGAGGGTTTCTTGGACTGGGGATGGTGGGGCGGGGTGGCGGGGGGCGTTGAGGGGCTCCGCCTGAGCCTGAGCCTCTTCCTTGCAGCTCCCAGAGAAGGGGGCAGCGTGGTCACGGGCGGTCAGACCAGGGTTCCTGTCCACTTGGAAATATTGCCACACACAAGGATTAAGGAAGCTTAAAAAAAAAAATACTCTAGAAAGGGGTTAACCTCATTTTCTCAGATTTTAAAGCCATCCTTGGCAGTTAGAAACAGCAGATTTGACACCATCGATGACTAACACCCCTTAGGAGGGATATATACCTGTCTGCATGTGCCCCGGGCAGGGATTTAAGTGTTCCACAGCTTTTCCATGAATCCTAAATCAAGTAGATTCATCCTGGCCCTTGGTGAAGTCTAAGAGCCTTCGGGTGAGGCTTATGTTAAATCACCCTCTCTGGGCCCCTGCTCCCAAGCTGATAGTCACAAATTCCCCATAATGAGCACTCCTGAAGAAGCCCAGGCAGATAGCGCCACTGAATCAAGAGCAGAGGGAGCCCAGGGCAGGGGAGAGGGAAGTGTTTGCTTTGGCTGGGGAAGGTGCCAGGCGCTGGCTTGTGTGTTTGCCTGACAGGGAGGCCTGATAACTGGGTTGTGTAGAAAGTGCTGCGTGGTGGGACCTGGGCCATCTGCCACACATCAGGAGGGGCTGCCCCTGCTGGTCCCTCGGCCCTGATCTGGCAGGACACGGACTCTTTCACCCTGTCTTCTGCTTCCTTTGCAGCCACATGGTCACTGGGAACCCAGGATTATTTTTCTTCTCTTGGAAATAAAAACGGAATCCTCAAACTTTGTTTGTTTTGATGAATTACTTCCAGGCTGCTGTCTGTTTGGGGACAAAGCTCCCAGCTGAAGGGAGTGTGGAGGCCGAGGGACAAATGCCCAGCACAGAGTGGCGTTTCAACACAGCCGCCCTGGGGAGGGAGAGCAGAAAACCGGGGTTGTCCTGGCTCTGCCATTTGGCATCAGGGCAAGCTACTAAAGCTCTGTGTGCCTCAGTTTCCCCACTGGTTATGGGGGATTCTACGCTTGGCCCTGTATACTTTACAGGAGTATTGAGAGCACCAAATGGAATAATATAAATGAGAAACATGTATGAAGAGTAACATGCCATACTCATTTTAATAAGAGTGACTCCCTTTCAGCCCAGCTTTCTGCACCATGTGGCCATGGTATCAGCAGGAACATGCCATCCTGACACAGGCCTTGGTTTTATACCTCTTCTTTTCTGAGAGAGTTGGATGATAATGTCTCTGTTATATACACTATATACACAAAAGCCGAGCAACCATAACTGAAAAATACTGCTTACTTGTAGACTTCTTGATGGGAGGAATGACAGTTGATTTTTATGAATTTGTCCCAGGGGAGGGGCGTCTCCTAGCTCCCAAAGCCGACCACTCCCCGCACTCTGCCCCGGACCCCCAGACACCATCCCCTCCACTTCCTCAGAGAAGCTCCCCCTGCAGTGTGGGCCCTCCTCTCCACGTCATCGGTGTCCTTTCCCTACTGGACCATCCCTTTCAGTATACAGACACGTCTTCATAACCATTTAAAACAAAAGCCACCCCTTCCCCCCTTCCCTGTAGCCTAGCCTCGTCTCTCTCCCCCTCTTCACAGGGGGAGCTGGCTGCCATTTGCTGTCTCTGTTCTCTCCTCAACCACTGCCACAGGGTTTCATTCTGCCAGTCCCCTGCCTGGGAGGGCACCTGTCCAGGACTGTTAGGACAGGCAAATGGCCAGTGGAGAGCGCTGCTTCTGGCTTGCCCAGTCTCTCAGCAGCTCTGGACGTTACTGACCTGTCTGCCCTTTGAACATGTTCTCCTGCAGACCCACCTGAGTCCGCACTCACCTGCTGGCCCTGCTCAGCATCTTTGGCTGGATCTTCCCACTTACCTCTAAATGTCTGAGTGCCCCAGGGATCGGGTCAGCAATTGGAAAATTCTATTTGTTCTCTTCAAAGGGGTTTCACCCAGTGCCATGGCTTTACACACCATCCAGACCTCCTCGCCAAGCTGACTCATGATCCACTGCCTACTCGATGTCTCTGACATCTCAGGTGGCATCTGAAACCTTGAGCGGGCCACCCAGAACCCTTAACTCCTCCAGTTCGTTCCCTCCAGTGTGCACTCCTCCCTTTCTTGTTTTCAGAAAAGGCACCACATCCCATCAGCTGCTCAGAGCGGATGCCTAGGGGCCCTCCTGGCTCTCTTCTCCCCATCACGTCTTGCAGCCACTCCCTGGTCAGTCCAGGCCACCCTTGGCCCTCGCCTGTACCTTCCCTGGAGCCTGATAACTGTGCTACTCCTGTCCTCTCCAACCCATGCTATGTACAACAGCCAGAGCAGACTTCCAAGGGCACCAGAAAGCACTAGATAACACCGCGGTTCAAATTCTTCAGTGAGTTCCCACCCCACCTGCAGTAGAAGCCAAGCCCTTCCCCTTGCTCACAAGGCCCCTGTTTGCCTACTTAGCCCTCCCTCCAGCCCACCTGGCCTCCTTCCCGCCCTGTGGCCAAGCAAAGCTCCTTCCCCTTTGGTGCTGTTCACTGCCTGATCCTTCTGCCTGGAACACTGGTGCACAGCACTGCCAGGCCAGCATCCAGCTATCGGTTTACAGCTCGTCTCTCCAGAGAGGCCCCCTGCCCGCCCAGCTAAAAGCAGTCTTCCCTGCTGCTCTCTATACAGCCGTACGTGCTAACGCTCTTTCACAGCACTTGCTGGCACCTCAGTGGTCTCTGTGCTTGCAGGAGTGCTCATTGCCTAGCGCCCCCCGCTCCTGGAATGTCAAGGGCTTGACTCTGCCTTGTTTGCTGCTATGCCCCAGCATGGGTACAGTGCCTGGCATACAGAAGGTGCCCAATAAATGCAATGTTTGATCACAGATTGGGTGTTCAGTACTATTCTGTATCCGATACATGTCATTAGAGCATTTTGAAGATATCTGGGGCCTTTTTTTCTCCTTTAGACAAAGAAACAGGATGAGAGATGACAAGTCGTGTGGTCAAGGTGTCATAATGTGTTGGTGGCAGAGCCCACCTGTCTTAGGGCTCAGGGCAGACCTGACCATGGGGCTGATGCGGCTGATCCCGGGGTTGAGGAGAGAACAGTAAGCTGGAGTCCTGGCATGGGGGCCGGCTAGCTCCTGGCGAGGATGACATGGCAAAGGCCACCCTTCACTGGTGCTCCATCCATGTGCCAGCCTCCTACTTTCTAAACTGCAGAGAGCTGGTTGTGAGGCTGACTGTAGGCCTCTCAGCAAGTGTCAGTTGTAGCATCTGAGCCTGCTGTTTCACCCATCAAGGCGCCCTGATGACATGTGATAGCAAGGTTAGGCCTGTCTAGCAGCCTTTGGAATTACTGGGATGAGGCCAAGACTAAAAGCAAGGCTGGGTAAGGGCTGGGGGTTTGTCCTGGTGGGTCTCTGAGGAGGGGGAAGGCAGGGGAAGAGAAGGCTTGTCCACAGCAGGGGACAAGAGGAAGAAGGCGGAGGTCAGTGACAAAGGCCAGGAACGGCTTCTTCCTTCTCTTCCTGGCTTGATACGCCATGCATACTTCTTCTGTGACTGTTACGGTGTCCTCAGGCCTGGGCCCTCAAGACATGTGTATGTCTGCAACTCACTGGCAAGAACCATGCTCCAGCAGAGTGAGATTTCTAGCCAAGGATTCAACAAGTTACCAAACCACAGGGCTGAGCAAAGAGCTGGCTGTGGGGACAGAGAACGAAAGGAGCTGAAGATCTGGAGGAGGGGAGCAGCTTTGGCAGGTGGGGCAGGGGCACCTACCTGGGCCGCCACCCACGGGCCTGTCCTGGCGCTTCTGATGCTGCCCTTGGGTCCTTCTTCAGGAGGAAGCAGAGGCCAGGCACGGGGCAGTGACCCCAGGCCAGCCCTGTGGCTTCAGCAGCATGCAGCACACCTCCTCTCCCTGCTCACCCCTCTGCCTGCTCTAACGTTCTCCTGGCCTCCCCCCGGAGTTGGTGAGCAGAGCAGGTGACCTGTGGCCCTGGAGGCAGGTGAACTTACATTTCTTCTGCAGGATGCTCTGTCTGGCCTTGATGAATGCCAGGATGTCGGAGTCTGTCTGGCTGTCCCCGGTGAGAGGGATGGATGACACTGGCTTCTCAGGGATGCTGGGAACAACCACAGTCACACTTCACTACACCTTCTGTTCGGACTTACGGCTTACCTCCCCAAAGTGCTCTTCCATTTCCAGTGGCTGGATCTCACCCAGGAAGCTGTGTGGCTGCAGTGTGCCTCCTCCCCACTCCCTCCACCATCTCTGTGCAGCAGCCACAGCATCCCTTTACACACAAATGCAGTGTGTCCTCCCCTGGCTTAAACCCTTAGTGGCTTCTCAACCCCTTTGGGATAAGATTCACTCGACTCTGTCCCTGTGTGACTTAGTGCCTGTGAGATCAGGCCCTCAGTCCGCCACACTCTGGCCACGCTGCCCTTCATTCTGCCCTTCAAGCTCCTTCTGGCCTCAGCCCTTCACTCTCACTGCCTCCTTTCCCTGGACTACTGGCCTGCAGACCTTTGCACGCCTGACTGCGCCTGCTCTAAGGACCTTCTCCATTCCTTCACACCCCACACCTGCCCTGCCCCCAGCTTACCCAAGCCCATTCAGCCTGGGCCTGCCTGCCTCCTTCAGCACCCAACTTAGATATCCTTTAGGATGTCTCCCTAGTGCGTCCCCAGCCCCCAGCATGGCTTAGCTAGTTGCTGCTGAGGCAGAGATAACTCTTCTCTCCTCTCTCCTTAAAAGCAGAACCATAACCTTTAGCTGAGTTGCCACAGCTAGAAAAAACCCCTACATGCCCCAGCTTCCTTTGCAGCTGCATGTGGCCAGGCAACCAGGTCTGACAATGAGGTTTGTAAGAAGTGTGGGATTTCCAGGAAATCCCTTCTCTCTCCTCCTCCTCTTTTTCCATCCAAGCCCTATATATAAAATCGCCCTTAAGAAAATTCAAAGCCATGCACTCTTCTGGCTTTGCCAAGCTTCCATCCTCATACCCATCCCTCCACATGCTCACAAGTGGACAGTATCCACACTCTCAGAGCACGGTAAGATTGTATATAGTAAAGGATCATTTCATTAGCACAGGTAATCTTCTGTGTTGGCATTCCAGCTGCAACTCCACGAGAAATGCTGAGGCCACTTTGCGGCTCATGCGGCTGGGAGCTGTGCTAGCTTCGCTCATTCTGTCTGCGGATGGGGAGGGGCCACGGGTGGGATCTAGCCTTGGACAGCCTTGGGAAACAGGGCCAGGTGAAGAAGGGCTGTGGGCACTCTAGTCAGAGGGCACAAAGAAGATGCACTGGGGAGAGGCCTTATCAACTTTGTTCAGCCTGGAGTGAGTGGCTCACGGTGTGAGACTGGGCTGGTAAACTCCTCTCCTGGGCACTCTGCAGAGGGGCTAGTGGGCTATGCTGGGACTGTCCCTGGGCTGGCTCTCCTTTCCTTTAATGGCCGAGGTACATCTGTTCACAGGAGATGCCGTTCTCATGGGGCCCAGTGACTCTGGGAGAAAACTCCCTGGCTCTGGGAGGTGGCATTTGAGAGATTCCCAGGGGTTCCTGGGGCACCAGGGCAGATGCCAGCCCTGGGCTCCGAGCAGTCACCAGACAAGGGGCCCCTCTGGCTGTGTGTTAGAGGACTGGTGATGGCACTGCTCCACCCTCAGCAGGGCCGCCCCAGGGGGCAGAGGGAGGAGACACAGACCTGTCTTTCAGGGGGGCGCTGGTGCTGCTCTGCTCCTGGCTGTGCAGGATGGCGCCAGGCAAGTGCACCGTTTTCCTGGCATTCACCTCACTGCAAAAGAGAAGCCGACAAAAGGAAAGGGAATGGAAGGAGGCTCACAGGGAAGCAGGCTTACAGAGGAGCAGCGCAGGGTTCATATTCAGGAGCTGTGTGGCCAGAACGCTGTGTCCCCTCCCAATCTGAATGTTAAAGCCCTACCCCCCAGTGTGACTGCATTTGGAGGAAGGGTTTTTGGATCTGATGAGGTCACAAGCATGGGCCCTCCGGNAGCTGGGTGAGGGCATTAAGGTGTGCCAAGTATCCTGAGGCTGTTTCTGAGGGACTCTGGCCCACTCTACGCAGCTTCAGGACTCTTGAGAGTGTGTGTATTTATGTGTGCCCTGCAGATTCCTGGAGAGGCTTTTAGAATCAGGCTGTAAGGGCTCTGTTTGGTCTTACCCTGGTTCTACCTACCTTACTGAGGACTTACTATGAGCCGTAGAACTATGAGGGCCGGAAGTGAGCCAGAGACTGGGCCCTGCCTTCCTAGGCTTCAGTCACAGAGCCAGAGTGAAGCCCTGCGAGTGACAGCAGCCCGAGGGGCAGGAGAGCTGCATTCTGACTCTGCCGCTCATTAATCAAAGGGGTATGTGTGGAGAGCCACCTTGTGCTGGGGACACAGTGATGCGCAGCAGACAGATGGGTCCCTGTTGTCATGCAGCTTTGATCTTGGTGGGGGGTACAGGTTGCAGGCCATCAAGAAATAAGCAAATAAAGAAAGGCGGTATGTCACATAGTGATGAAGAAAATAAAACAGAGTAATGGGATAGAGAGTAATGAGTTGGGGCGGTCAGGGAAGCCCCCTGAAGAGGGGACACGTGCCACCAGCTAGCTACTTGCAAGCCAGGTCCTTGCCTTTGCTCCGGTTTCCCAGTTATATAAGTGTGGGTGTGGACAAGAGGGGCTCTGTGGGCCCGTCCAGCTTTGGAACGTAACGGTTTGTCTTCTGCATGATCTTTTTACCTGTCTTGAGCGGGATGGGGTGGGGGTTGGAGGAAATAAGCCAGTTAAACTGTGTTCTCTCTGCTCTCCCCCCAGGTGGTGAGGTGCCGAATTTATAGGACAGAGATCAAGGAGCACTGGGCGGCAGCTTTATTCTCTTAGCTTCATTCTTGGTACCGTTCCTGTACCCCGTCCTCCCTCCACACTGCAGCTGGCTTGGAACCTTGCCGCCGTGAGGTGGTGGTTCTCTGCGGGCCTCCTGAGGGTGGGATCTGCATTGGGAGCCAGGCCAGGAGGGCCGAGAGGGCTCCCTGAGACAAGACCCCAGCAGCCACGTTTCCCCCGTGGGAGTGGGGAGTCTCAGTTCCCATCCCGCAGAGCCCCATGTAGCTGGGGGAGGGGGTGAGGTCCAAGGTGCCCGTGTTGCCTCGCGCTCTCTGCAGAGCTGCCGGGAGCCATCCATTGCTCTCTGGGTGCTGCAGCGTCCTTAGACCTGGCAAGGTGGGTGGCTCCCTGGAGACACAGCTGATCAAGGCGTGGCCTCTGTCTCCCGGGCCGTGAGGAGGACAGTGGAGGGTTTGGTCTGTGTGGTCAGGACCAGCTCTCAAGGTGCCCTGCATTCCATTGCCTCATCCTTGGCTCTGATGTCCAGCCTGGCCTGTCGCAGCCATTCCTGGGCTTCTAAACCAGAGGGTGAGACTGGTTAGCGGGCTGGGAAAGAACCGATGATAATTTCCCCTGCATTCTACCAGCGTGAGCTTCCGCTGCCACATCATGATGGCACTATTTCATAATGTCATAGGTTTCTAATTGTCTATGTGAAACACTGCTGCAACAGTGAGCAGAAGCCCTCATGTTGCCCCAGGGCCCTGCCCTTGCCTGGCCCTGCCTCCAGCCCCAGTGCCCACAGCGAGGAGGGCACCATGAGCCCCGCCTCTGCCTCTCTGGCAGCCGCAGGACACCATCCTTAAAGAAGCACAGCTCCCTCCACTGGGGTGACAGTCACCAGTGGCCCCCAGCAGCTCACTGATCATTTCTGAAGCCTGGGCAAGTGAGAGGAGGCACCTTCATCTGTACTCCGTCCTTGCGGCCACAGTGCACGGCTGGACGCTTACTGGAGACCTGGAGGGAGACAGGATGTCCTTGGTCAGGCTGTGCATGGAGGCACTGACCTCCTCTAGGAATGAAGCGTGAGGGGGAAGCTGCGGGTCGTTCCTCCTGGGTCTCCGCAGGGCACGTCTCAGTGCCCTGCCCTTGGGGGCTCCATCTGCTCCCCTGGGCCAGGACCAGCACCTCATTCTCCAGCCCTGCCATTTTCACTGATGCTCCTACTTGATTCCCCGAGAGATTCTCTCCTAGTTTGGGCTCCAGATATTCGTTATATCCCAGGGTGGTGCCTCCTGAGCATGTGGCCCCATCCTGTTACCTCCTGGGAGAAGAGTCCATGGAGTGGAGTTCTCTGGACTCAGAACCAGGGCCCCTGAGTTCTAGCCAGGCTGGTCCCCAACCTGTGGTGTGACTGTGGGCAAAACACGTTAGCTCTCTGGCCCTCACTTTCCTCATTTCCAAATCCGTGGAGCACATGAGGTGCCTAGAAAAAGCAAAGCGGCTGGCATGGCTCCCTGCTTCCCAAAGTGTGGTCTCCACTGGCAGCCCCTGGGAGCTTGTTAAGAGGTGCAGAGTCTCAGGCCCCACCCAGACTCACTGGACCAGAATCTGCATTTTAACAAAACCCCAGAATTCATGGGCATATTACAGTGTGAGAAGAACTGGTATGAGTGACATACAGTTAACTTGCATAAAGTCAGGTTATCATAATATGGGAATACCTGAAGGGATAGTCATACTATCATCATAATAGGATAATATAATAATATAATAAGGGAATATAGAATAATAATATAATATGTGGGATAATAATAGTCATATTAGAGGGATAATATCATAATAAAGGGAATTTCTGAAGATTCTTGGGTGGAGTAAGGAACATGGAGTCTGAAATAATTGCAGAGGCAGCTGCAGCCGTCCGGGTGTGGTCAAGGGGACCTGGCAGGCGCTGGGGAGTGAGAGGCCTGCTTGATGCTGCTGAGGAAGAATGTGTACTTCTTTTGTCACTCATTGAATGTGGGAAGTAACAGAGAGGAAGAGGTCAAGAGCAATTCAAGGCTATAAGCCCTTGGTCCTTCAGATCTGATTCTGTGTGCAGACCCCAGGCTGGCCTCGCTGTTCAATTAAACAGGGACGGTCCTTATTTTGAAGCCATTCTTAGCTGTCCTAACTGACTCCTAGGGCAGGAAGGAGAAGGTCAGCACACCTGAGCTCCTGAAGGTGACGGGTTCCTTCTGGACTCATGGTTCTGTGCCCTTCTGCACGTTGAGAACTCCCAGGCCACTCGGGGGACAGATGAAATCAGACTTTCTGGGGTGGGAACAGCCAGGGCCGAAACCCACTGCTTTCATCTCTATCCCCAGGGTCAGTAAGGGCGGGTACTGGGGACCACCAGCCATGTATGGCTGATGACCAAGTCATGGGTCTGGTGCTTCCTCTGCACCTGACCAGCAGTCAGGGCCCGGATTCGTTAATGCTGCCAGTGGTAGGAGCAGGGAGTCTGAGCCAGCTCCCACGCCAGGACTGTCACTGTCACCCGCCCCCCACCTCGTTTACAGTGATGACTGAGGGTGGGGGCAGGGCTGAGAATAAACACTACCTAGAGTGCATGACACTCCAAGTCATGGTTCTCCACATACACAGGCCTCAACCCCGAATGGAATGAACCCTAGGTAAGGGATGGAGCTGTCAGTCTCTATGGGGATTTTGTGACTGTAGAGTCCTAGGATGGAGGGCACTGCTACAGAACAGCCATTTAACAAGATCACACCTCACTGTGTCGGGCCAGTTCCCACCACAGAGGCCAACTTCTCCCTAACAGCTCCCTGTGCTTAGCAGGGGACAGGGACTCTCATGGACATTATCTCAGGAGAGGCTGACCACCAGGGTGGAGGTGGGAGGAACCTGACAGATGTGGGGAGGAGGCTTGGGGAGGGGACCTGCAAGGTCACACAGCGCGTCCCCAGCTCCTGGTTCTTCCGCTGGCAGGGATCCTGAGCAAAGGACGGAGCAGGAGGGTTTCTTGGACTGGGGATGGTGGGGCGGGGTGGCGGGGGGCGTTGAGGGGCTCCGCCTGAGCCTGAGCCTCTTCCTTGCAGCTCCCAGAGAAGGGGGCAGCGTGGTCACGGGCGGTCAGACCAGGGTTCCTGTCCACTTGGAAATATTGCCACACACAAGGATTAAGGAAGCTTAAAAAAAAAAATACTCTAGAAAGGGGTTAACCTCATTTTCTCAGATTTTAAAGCCATCCTTGGCAGTTAGAAACAGCAGATTTGACACCATCGATGACTAACACCCCTTAGGAGGGATATATACCTGTCTGCATGTGCCCCGGGCAGGGATTTAAGTGTTCCACAGCTTTTCCATGAATCCTAAATCAAGTAGATTCATCCTGGCCCTTGGTGAAGTCTAAGAGCCTTCGGGTGAGGCTTATGTTAAATCACCCTCTCTGGGCCCCTGCTCCCAAGCTGATAGTCACAAATTCCCCATAATGAGCACTCCTGAAGAAGCCCAGGCAGATAGCGCCACTGAATCAAGAGCAGAGGGAGCCCAGGGCAGGGGAGAGGGAAGTGTTTGCTTTGGCTGGGGAAGGTGCCAGGCGCTGGCTTGTGTGTTTGCCTGACAGGGAGGCCTGATAACTGGGTTGTGTAGAAAGTGCTGCGTGGTGGGACCTGGGCCATCTGCCACACATCAGGAGGGGCTGCCCCTGCTGGTCCCTCGGCCCTGATCTGGCAGGACACGGACTCTTTCACCCTGTCTTCTGCTTCCTTTGCAGCCACATGGTCACTGGGAACCCAGGATTATTTTTCTTCTCTTGGAAATAAAAACGGAATCCTCAAACTTTGTTTGTTTTGATGAATTACTTCCAGGCTGCTGTCTGTTTGGGGACAAAGCTCCCAGCTGAAGGGAGTGTGGAGGCCGAGGGACAAATGCCCAGCACAGAGTGGCGTTTCAACACAGCCGCCCTGGGGAGGGAGAGCAGAAAACCGGGGTTGTCCTGGCTCTGCCATTTGGCATCAGGGCAAGCTACTAAAGCTCTGTGTGCCTCAGTTTCCCCACTGGTTATGGGGGATTCTACGCTTGGCCCTGTATACTTTACAGGAGTATTGAGAGCACCAAATGGAATAATATAAATGAGAAACATGTATGAAGAGTAACATGCCATACTCATTTTAATAAGAGTGACTCCCTTTCAGCCCAGCTTTCTGCACCATGTGGCCATGGTATCAGCAGGAACATGCCATCCTGACACAGGCCTTGGTTTTATACCTCTTCTTTTCTGAGAGAGTTGGATGATAATGTCTCTGTTATATACACTATATACACAAAAGCCGAGCAACCATAACTGAAAAATACTGCTTACTTGTAGACTTCTTGATGGGAGGAATGACAGTTGATTTTTATGAATTTGTCCCAGGGGAGGGGCGTCTCCTAGCTCCCAAAGCCGACCACTCCCCGCACTCTGCCCCGGACCCCCAGACACCATCCCCTCCACTTCCTCAGAGAAGCTCCCCCTGCAGTGTGGGCCCTCCTCTCCACGTCATCGGTGTCCTTTCCCTACTGGACCATCCCTTTCAGTATACAGACACGTCTTCATAACCATTTAAAACAAAAGCCACCCCTTCCCCCCTTCCCTGTAGCCTAGCCTCGTCTCTCTCCCCCTCTTCACAGGGGGAGCTGGCTGCCATTTGCTGTCTCTGTTCTCTCCTCAACCACTGCCACAGGGTTTCATTCTGCCAGTCCCCTGCCTGGGAGGGCACCTGTCCAGGACTGTTAGGACAGGCAAATGGCCAGTGGAGAGCGCTGCTTCTGGCTTGCCCAGTCTCTCAGCAGCTCTGGACGTTACTGACCTGTCTGCCCTTTGAACATGTTCTCCTGCAGACCCACCTGAGTCCGCACTCACCTGCTGGCCCTGCTCAGCATCTTTGGCTGGATCTTCCCACTTACCTCTAAATGTCTGAGTGCCCCAGGGATCGGGTCAGCAATTGGAAAATTCTATTTGTTCTCTTCAAAGGGGTTTCACCCAGTGCCATGGCTTTACACACCATCCAGACCTCCTCGCCAAGCTGACTCATGATCCACTGCCTACTCGATGTCTCTGACATCTCAGGTGGCATCTGAAACCTTGAGCGGGCCACCCAGAACCCTTAACTCCTCCAGTTCGTTCCCTCCAGTGTGCACTCCTCCCTTTCTTGTTTTCAGAAAAGGCACCACATCCCATCAGCTGCTCAGAGCGGATGCCTAGGGGCCCTCCTGGCTCTCTTCTCCCCATCACGTCTTGCAGCCACTCCCTGGTCAGTCCAGGCCACCCTTGGCCCTCGCCTGTACCTTCCCTGGAGCCTGATAACTGTGCTACTCCTGTCCTCTCCAACCCATGCTATGTACAACAGCCAGAGCAGACTTCCAAGGGCACCAGAAAGCACTAGATAACACCGCGGTTCAAATTCTTCAGTGAGTTCCCACCCCACCTGCAGTAGAAGCCAAGCCCTTCCCCTTGCTCACAAGGCCCCTGTTTGCCTACTTAGCCCTCCCTCCAGCCCACCTGGCCTCCTTCCCGCCCTGTGGCCAAGCAAAGCTCCTTCCCCTTTGGTGCTGTTCACTGCCTGATCCTTCTGCCTGGAACACTGGTGCACAGCACTGCCAGGCCAGCATCCAGCTATCGGTTTACAGCTCGTCTCTCCAGAGAGGCCCCCTGCCCGCCCAGCTAAAAGCAGTCTTCACTGCTGCTCTCTATACAGCCGTACGTGCTAACGCTCTTTCACAGCACTTGCTGGCACCTCAGTGGTCTCTGTGCTTGCAGGAGTGCTCATTGCCTAGCGCCCCCCGCTCCTGGAATGTCAAGGGCTTGACTCTGCCTTGTTTGCTGCTATGCCCCAGCATGGGTACAGTGCCTGGCATACAGAAGGTGCCCAATAAATGCAATGTTTGATCACAGATTGGGTGTTCAGTACTATTCTGTATCCGATACATGTCATTAGAGCATTTTGAAGATATCTGGGGCCTTTTTTTCTCCTTTAGACAAAGAAACAGGATGAGAGATGACAAGTCGTGTGGTCAAGGTGTCATAATGTGTTGGTGGCAGAGCCCACCTGTCTTAGGGCTCAGGGCAGACCTGACCATGGGGCTGATGCGGCTGATCCCGGGGTTGAGGAGAGAACAGTAAGCTGGAGTCCTGGCATGGGGGCCGGCTAGCTCCTGGCGAGGATGACATGGCAAAGGCCACCCTTCACTGGTGCTCCATCCATGTGCCAGCCTCCTACTTTCTAAACTGCAGAGAGCTGGTTGTGAGGCTGACTGTAGGCCTCTCAGCAAGTGTCAGTTGTAGCATCTGAGCCTGCTGTTTCACCCATCAAGGCGCCCTGATGACATGTGATAGCAAGGTTAGGCCTGTCTAGCAGCCTTTGGAATTACTGGGATGAGGCCAAGACTAAAAGCAAGGCTGGGTAAGGGCTGGGGGTTTGTCCTGGTGGGTCTCTGAGGAGGGGGAAGGCAGGGGAAGAGAAGGCTTGTCCACAGCAGGGGACAAGAGGAAGAAGGCGGAGGTCAGTGACAAAGGCCAGGAACGGCTTCTTCCTTCTCTTCCTGGCTTGATACGCCATGCATACTTCTTCTGTGACTGTTACGGTGTCCTCAGGCCTGGGCCCTCAAGACATGTGTATGTCTGCAACTCACTGGCAAGAACCATGCTCCAGCAGAGTGAGATTTCTAGCCAAGGATTCAACAAGTTACCAAACCACAGGGCTGAGCAAAGAGCTGGCTGTGGGGACAGAGAACGAAAGGAGCTGAAGATCTGGAGGAGGGGAGCAGCTTTGGCAGGTGGGGCAGGGGCACCTACCTGGGCCGCCACCCACGGGCCTGTCCTGGCGCTTCTGATGCTGCCCTTGGGTCCTTCTTCAGGAGGAAGCAGAGGCCAGGCACGGGGCAGTGACCCCAGGCCAGCCCTGTGGCTTCAGCAGCATGCAGCACACCTCCTCTCCCTGCTCACCCCTCTGCCTGCTCTAACGTTCTCCTGGCCTCCCCCCGGAGTTGGTGAGCAGAGCAGGTGACCTGTGGCCCTGGAGGCAGGTGAACTTACATTTCTTCTGCAGGATGCTCTGTCTGGCCTTGATGAATGCCAGGATGTCGGAGTCTGTCTGGCTGTCCCCGGTGAGAGGGATGGATGACACTGGCTTCTCAGGGATGCTGGGAACAACCACAGTCACACTTCACTACACCTTCTGTTCGGACTTACGGCTTACCTCCCCAAAGTGCTCTTCCATTTCCAGTGGCTGGATCTCACCCAGGAAGCTGTGTGGCTGCAGTGTGCCTCCTCCCCACCCCCTCCACCATCTCTGTGCAGCAGCCACAGCATCCCTTTACACACAAATGCAGTGTGTCCTCCCCTGGCTTAAACCCTTAGTGGCTTCTCAACCCCTTTGGGATAAGATTCACTCGACTCTGTCCCTGTGTGACTTAGTGCCTGTGAGATCAGGCCCTCAGTCCGCCGCACTCTGGCCACGCTGCCCTTCATTCTGCCCTTCAAGCTCCTTCTGGCCTCAGCCCTTCACTCTCACTGCCTCCTTTCCCTGGACTACTGGCCTGCAGACCTTTGCACGCCTGACTGCGCCTGCTCTAAGGACCTTCTCCATTCCTTCACACCCCACACCTGCCCTGCCCCCAGCTTACCCAAGCCCATTCAGCCTGGGCCTGCCTGCCTCCTTCAGCACCCAACTTAGATATCCTTTAGGATGTCTCCCTAGTGCGTCCCCAGCCCCCAGCATGGCTTAGCTAGTTGCTGCTGAGGCAGAGATAACTCTTCTCTCCTCTCTCCTTAAAAGCAGAACCATAACCTTTAGCTGAGTTGCCACAGCTAGAAAAAACCCCTACATGCCCCAGCTTCCTTTGCAGCTGCATGTGGCCAGGCAACCAGGTCTGACAATGAGGTTTGTAAGAAGTGTGGGATTTCCAGGAAATCCCTTCTCTCTCTCCTCCTCTTTTTCCATCCAAGCCCTATATATAAAATCGCCCTTAAGAAAATTCAAAGCCATGCACTCTTCTGGCTTTGCCAAGCTTCCATCCTCATACCCATCCCTCCACATGCTCACAAGTGGACAGTATCCACACTCTCAGAGCACGGTAAGATTGTATATAGTAAAGGATCATTTCATTAGCACAGGTAATCTTCTGTGTTGGCATTCCAGCTGCAACTCCACGAGAAATGCTGAGGCCACTTTGCGGCTCATGCGGCTGGGAGCTGTGCTAGCTTCGCTCATTCTGTCTGCGGATGGGGAGGGGCCACGGGTGGGATCTAGCCTTGGACAGCCTTGGGAAACAGGGCCAGGTGAAGAAGGGCTGTGGGCACTCTAGTCAGAGGGCACAAAGAAGATGCACTGGGGAGAGGCCTTATCAACTTTGTTCAGCCTGGAGTGAGTGGCTCACGGTGTGAGACTGGGCTGGTAAACTCCTCTCCTGGGCACTCTGCAGAGGGGCTAGTGGGCTATGCTGGGACTGTCCCTGGGCTGGCTCTCCTTTCCTTTAATGGCCGAGGTACATCTGTTCACAGGAGATGCCGTTCTCATGGGGCCCAGTGACTCTGGGAGAAAACTCCCTGGCTCTGGGAGGTGGCATTTGAGAGATTCCCAGGGGTTCCTGGGGCACCAGGGCAGATGCCAGCCCTGGGCTCCGAGCAGTCACCAGACAAGGGGCCCCTCTGGCTGTGTGTTAGAGGACTGGTGATGGCACTGCTCCACCCTCAGCAGGGCCGCCCCAGGGGGCAGAGGGAGGAGACACAGACCTGTCTTTCAGGGGGGCGCTGGTGCTGCTCTGCTCCTGGCTGTGCAGGATGGCGCCAGGCAAGTGCACCGTTTTCCTGGCATTCACCTCACTGCAAAAGAGAAGCCGACAAAAGGAAAGGGAATGGAAGGAGGCTCACAGGGAAGCAGGCTTACAGAGGAGCAGCGCAGGGTTCATATTCAGGAGCTGTGTGGCCGGAACGCTGTGTCCCCTCCCAATCTGAATGTTAAAGCCCTACCCCCCAGTGTGACTGCATTTGGAGGAAGGGTTTTTGGATCTGATGAGGTCACAAGCATGGGCCCTCCGGGACGGACTGGTGCCCTTATAGCGAGAGGAAGAGAGCCCGGAGCTCTCTCTACCAGGTAAGGGTGCCCAGAGAAGGTGGCTGTGCCAGCCAGGAAGATGGACTTCACCAGAAACTCATCCTGCTGGACCTTGATCTGGGACTCCCAGCCTCCAGAATGCTGAGAAGTAAGTAAATACCTGTTGTTTAGGCCGCCCAGTGTGCGGTGCTTTGTCGTGGCAGCCTGAACCAAGACAGGGAGCCAAGAATCCCATCATGGGTGATGCTTGGTTTGGGCTGCTAAGGTAGCATCCACTGGTGGCTTAAACCCTAGGGACCTATCACAGTTCTGGGAGCTGGGGGTCTGAGATCAGGGTGCCAGCACAGCCAGGTTGTCTTGAGGGTCCTTTCCCAGGACTGCAGCCTGCCAGATTCTTCCTGTGCTCTCACATGGGGAAAGACCATGAGCTGGCTCTCTGGCATTTTCTTACAAGGGCTTTGATCCCATTGGTGAGGGCCCTGCCCTCATGGCCTAAAGGCCCACCTCCCTAAGACCCCACCTCCAAATACCATCACATTAGGTTTCAGCATACGGATTTTTGGTGGACACTGATACATGGTCCCCAACAGATGGCTTATACATTATTTTTCCTCATTGGAGCATTGCACCTTATTGGGCGTGCAGTTAAGCAAAACCAGCAGTGATCTGGTTTAAGGATATAAACTGTCATTTACAGACACTGTCTACCACCAGGTCCTGGGAAAGTGCTCTGCAAACATCATGCCATTTATTCTTCTCAGTATCCTCTTAGCCCCATTGTATAGATGAGACACCTGAGGCTTAGAAAGGGTATATACATTCTGAAGGTTACCCAGTGGAGAAGCTGGATCCAGTAACAGCCCTGTGAGGCACTGGAAGCTGTGCTCTCAGCCAGGATGTGGTATCAACTGGACCTGACCTGTGGTGCTCTGAGGCATCACACAGTGGAGATGCATGGCTCACGCTGGGCCCCACTGACTGAGCAGCTCTGCACTCTCTGAGTGAGGAGTCAGACCCAGCGGCTCATGTAGATGAAGCTTTGCCCATCCAAGCAGGCTGCCCGATACGTGTGCCTTGCTTTTGACTCCTGGTTACAAACAGGAGCCCAGCAGTGGCCCTTGGGAGGTGAAGAGGCCAGCAGCCAAAGCTGTCCCGGGCTGCCTGTGTTATTATGGAATCCTCTCCTTTGCTTTGGGATGGTCCTACCCAGACCCAATGTCAGAGCTGGAAGAGGCCTAAAAAGTCACCTGGTCAGAACCCTCCTTTTACAGATGGAATCACTCAGGCTGGGGTTAGAGATGGGTGTGCCAGCTTCGCCTAAGCTGTGCCATCAGTCCAAGGCACTCCACTCCACAGGCCTGACAAACTGCTGTCTCACCTGTAAACATAGTCCCTTCCCCATCCCAGCCATGGCAGGGCCTGTTACCCTGTGCTTCCCTCTACAGATTCAAGACTGCGGGTCAGACAAACAGGAAAGGAAACCAGAGCCTGGGATTTTTCTTTTTCTTTTTTTTTTCTAGTGTCTATTTCCCAGCATCCCAGAGGCTCTGCACTGAATCTTCAGGATGGTTGAGGATCTGTGCTGCCTGGTGAGGGCTGCTGTGGGACCAGAGGCCGCCACAAGGTGGCAGGCCCTGCACACTTTTCTTTGGAGAGCAGTGCCAACTCTCAGGGCTCCTGAATGGTTCCTGGTGCAGGCCTTGAGAAGGGAAGGAGAAAGGGCTTTCCATTCAGTGGGTGCCCCCATTACACTGGGTCAAGGTCAGTTTGGAAGCAAGTCTTGGAGAGCAAGCCACTGGCACACAAAGTGCTCACTAGCTCAGTGGTTTTCCAGCAGAACCTTTCCTAAGATTTCAGGTGCCAACTGGTGAGGGGCAGGAGCGGGTGGAGGTGGAAGAGAGGCAGAGATGGACATGGGCAGGGCAGAAGGGCATGATCACCCCGTGGCAGATGGAGGCATCCAGCACCTTCTGCAGAGGCCTGTCTCCCCAGCCCGTTCCCTCAACCAGCTGGTGCAGGAGGATGTGGCACAGTGTGAAGGGGCCTCCTGAGGAAAGTGACTCCTCCAGTCCCAAAGCTGCTCTAGTGTCCCTGGAGGCCACAGCTTGGTTTCTGAACCCTCAGGATCATACCACCAATCCCTTTTGTCTTCTCCTGACCAAAAAGCGTTTGACAATGAATTCATTTCTCACACTGACATTCCTTTTGGAGAGAGCACACACCAGCCATTAGAATTAATTATCTTTCTTAATAAGTAACATTAATAATAATTAGGCCTCCTGGGTGTCAATCAGAGTGTTGTGCATTCAGTGTGTTCAGCTTGCAGGCCCCGAGCGCCCTGCGGGTCTGATGAAAGCAGGCCTCTTTCAGAACCGGAGGAGCAGAGGACCAGCGCTGGCCTGCAGCGCATCCCTCCAGAGCAGCCACTCCGGAGGCCAGGTGGGAACCGCCGGCTAGACGCTCGGTCTCTCGCCCAAGCAGCTCTCCGTGGTGCTGGAATGTTTATCTGCTCAGGGAGTGACAGTGTTGGAGTGACAGTGTTGGAGCGACCTCGGTGTACCTCAAGATGAGATGAGGGAATCCCAAAGCAGAGAGTTGCCTTACCCAGGGGTTACAAGGAGCGTTTGTTTGATACTCCCTGCATGAGAGGACTCTAAGGAGGTAACCAACGGGGACCTGATGTGCACATTTGCAGTCCAAGGGGCTGAATGTCGGGGTTAAAGGTCTCCTGGCAAGCATGCCCAGGGATCGTGTTAAATTAGAGAGCTAGAATGTACAGGAACACCAAAGCCAGGCCACGCCCTACTCCTCAGACAAGGTGGACGTGGGGGGAGGAGCGTGAGTCTGATGGTTTCCCACGGAGGCCCGTGGAGGCCCTGCCCCGGGGGCTAGTCCTTGGGGAAGCCGGCAGGGGAGGGCTGGTAATGGAGAGGACAGATGGACAAGCAACAGGGGGCAGCAGCCTCAGCTGCTAGGGGTGCTGGAGAAAGGGCAGGAAGCATGGGGAGGGCCTCAAATAAGGAGAAAGGGAATGGAGGGCGGGCATAAAGATGAGGCAGAGCGGGAAAGTGGAAGAAAGGGATGGGAAAAGAAGGAAGGAAGTGCAGGGGTAAAGCCGAGAGAGGAGGCGTCAGGGAGAGGGCAGAGGGGCAGCAACGTGAGAACGAAGGAAGAAATGCCACTTGAGTGCGAGCCTGAGGTTCAGGGTTAGGCTGGAGGGTTATTAGCTCCAGAGTTAAAGACATCACCTTCCCTTTCTGGGCCTCAGTTTTCTCATTAGTTAAATGAGGGGATTGAATTCAGGGTGTCTCAACTAAAATGGTGGGGCCAAGAGCAGTTGTCCAGTCAGAGGCCGGCTTTATAAGGAAGCATGGAATGAACATCCTGGCCCCTTGGAAAAGCCAGACTGTGGGCACATTGGAAGAGGGGAGGTGCTATCAGGAGGACCGGAGATCTTGCAGAACATAAAGAAAGCATAATTTTATGAGATAGTATGGAACATGGGCTGGAGAATGCCACCTCCTACTAGACAACAGAACATACACATGCCCCTAAAGGGCAGTCATTAACATTAAAGGGAATTGATGTGAGCGTTGGTGGGATGGCCAGATGCTGACAGGCCTGGGTTCCAAGCCTGGTCTCACCTCTTATTAGCTGAGTGACCCTGAGCAAGTTAATTGACCTCTCTGAGCCCGAGTGTTCTCATCTGTAAAATGGGGACAGTGAGAACATTTGCACTGCACATCTGTTGGGAGCTTGGCCTATAGGGCCCTTGATTGGTGGTGTGGGATGTTGTCACTGCAAGAGAAGGAATCCCTTCCACCCCTTTCCTTTCCGCCTGGCAACCACTGATTTTTCTACTGTGTTTACAGCTTTGCCTTATCCAGACTGTCATAGTTGGAATCATACAGTATGTAGCCTTTTCAGATTGACTTCTTTCACTTAGCAATATGAGTTTAAAGTTCCTCCATTTTTTTTCATGGCTCATTTCTTTTATTCATTGAATAATATTTCACGTCAAGATGTATCACAGTTTATCCATTCATCTTTTGAAGGATATGTTTGTTGTTTCCAGTTTGGGACAGTTATGAATAAAGCTGCTATAAACATCCATGAGTAGGTTTTGGTGTGGACATAAGTTTTCAAGTCATTTGGGTAAATACTAAGGAATGTGAATACTGAATTGTATGCTAAGAGTATATTTAGTTTAATAGGAAACCACCAAACTGTCTTCCAAAGGGGCTGTACATTTTACAGTCCCACCAGCAAATAATTGAGAGTTCCTATGGCTCCACATCCTCACCAGCATTTGGTGATGTCAGTTTTTTGGATGTTAGCCATTCTAATAGGTATGTAATGTAGTTCATTATTTTAATTTGCAATTCTCCAATGACATGATATTGATCATCCTATCATACACTTGTCATCTGCTTATCTTCTTTGATGAGGTGTCTATTCAGATCTTTGCCCATTTTTAAATTGGGTTGTTCTTCTTATTGTTGAATTTTAAGAGTCTTTGTATATTTTGGATACAAGTCCTGTGTCAGACATATGCTTTGAAAGTATTTTCTCCCAGTCTGTGGCTTGTCCTTCTGGTCTCTTAACAGTGTTTTTCTTGGAGCAGTGTTTTTAATTTAATAAAGTCCAGTTTATCAATTTTTTTTCTTTTATGGCTCTACATTGCCTTTTAAAATATCAGTCTAGCCAAACAGAACACACCTTGACAGTTGCTGACCCTGGGCTTAGGAGCTCACGTAGGAGGTGCTTCCTTAAGTTAGAATACGAGCTGACATTCAGGCACTGAGGGCCACGTTTGGGGATGTCTGAGAAAATGTCAGTCAGGTGGTGGAGGGCTCACCACCAGCTGGCCTTTTTCTTTAAAGGATAGCTTAAATCTACAGAAGAGTTGTAAAGAGCATACAGAGAGTTCCCATGTTCCCCAAGCCCCATCTCCCTTAGTGTACAGTCTCACATTAGTGTAGTCCATTTGTCACCACTAGTCAACCAGTGCTGACACAGTATTATTAACTAAAGTCCATAATTTATTCAGATTTCCTTAGTTCGTACCTAATGTGCTTTTTCTGATCTACAATCCCACTCAGGATAGTGCATCACCTTTTGCTGTCACGTCTCCTTCGACTCCCCTTGTCTAGGACAGCGTCTCAGGCTTCTCTTGTTTTTGATGACCTTGACAGTTCTAAGGAGTACTGGTCAGGCATTTTAATTTGGGACTTGTCTGATGTTTTCCTCATGATTAGACTGGGGTTATAGACTTTGGAGAAGGCGACCACAGAGGCAAAGTGCCAGTCTTCACTCCACATCCAGGATACTGCCTGCCATGACCCCCTCTGCACCTGTGTCCTCGGCAGCAGAGGCGCAGCCCCACTCATGCCACTCTGGCCTCTGTTGCGGCAGTACTGGGTCTGTTGGGGACAGGAGGGTGGCTGAGGCACATGGCTCCTTCCCTACCATCTGAGTTGGGTGGCTGGAAGGAGTGATAGCATGGACGGCATGAGGAAGATGTGGCCTTCAGAAGGTGGTGTGTGGGCAAGGGGCAAGTAGAGCCCCTGCTGGATCATGCCAGTGTTCAGGAGAAACGGCTCCCTGCCGTCCTCATGGGAGGCTGCCCTCATGTCTCCTGGACCTGTGCTAGCACAGTCTTTACCAGAGCTCCCCTGTATCCTGGCAGCCCACTACCCCCTGCCCTTCACCAATACCCCCTCTTCCTCAAGCCCCCCTCCCACAGTCTCCCCTTCCACCTACTGCCAGCTCCTTCCTCCTAGGCTGGGGGCAGGGCCAGGCCTTAGGCTTGCCTCTTGTTGCTGGGGCAGAACGTCTACTGGCTGTCTGAGCAAGGGGTGCAGAACTGCAGGGGTCCTGGAAACTGCTGGCTGGGGATCTACAACTAATTTAACAGTAGAAACCATCCATCCTCCCAGCTCATGCAGCTTAGACAGAGACATTCAGAGCTGCAAGGGGAGAGACAGGGAGCTGAGGAGATGTAGGGAGCCTTTTCTGTGGCCTCTGACCCTGCTGGCACAGTTCTCTCCTTACCTTGGGTTTGAGAGAAGCTGGGACCTTTCTTGCTGGGATTCAGGCATCTGGAGAAGGGGCTTCATGTGACTGGGTGAGTTTGCTGCTGGAGGATTTACCTGTTGGCCCAGGAAGGAGTTTCAGTGTCAGCTTGAGTGGGATGACACAGGGAAAAGGCCAGCTCTAACAGTCGGTATACACGGGTATGGGAAAAACAAGTCTAGACATAGAAGTGACATGATGTGCGTTAAAGTATTATCTTTGTATGGCAGGATTATGAGTAATGTTTGATTTATTCTTTATTCTTTTCTGTGTTTTCTAAGTTATCCAAATTGAACACGTATTACTTTTTGTAATTAGGAAAAAAATGTTTAAAACGTCATCTGACAGTTCTTTGGAAGTCCTTTCTGGTTTTGCTTCCCCTTGTACCAAAGAGATGCTACCAGTCAGGAGAAATCCAGTGAGCACTTGGCGCAGGGGAACAGCCTCACAAGGGCGCCCTGGAAACCTTGCATGTTTCCACATGGGCTTTGTGAGCGGGGCTTCACCTGCAGGGTGTCTGAGTCTTGGCAGCAGGCCCTGGGATTCTCCCGGAGCATGGGAGGCTTATGAGTAGCTGTTACAAGGCCACTTGCTTCCCTGTCTCCCCAGGAGGCAGTGGGGAACGGTTTCTCATTGCCTCCCCTGCTCCCATGGGGTTTAAGGATTTCTGACTCGCCCCACTCAGGGTGCATCCGCGGACTATGAAACTGCTAGCTGCCACGGAGAGTTGGCTTCTCGGCAACAGGGGGCTGCATCATCCCCGTTGGGGCCATCTGGCCCCTTTCTCAGGGACATCTTGAGGGGAAGAGGACACACAGAGCTGACACCTTTGCCTACTCTGGCTTTCACTGTCCATGGGAGGAATACATTGAATCCGCCAGCCTTGACTGGACACTTCCTGAGTCGCATGGGTGACCCTGAGCTACTGTCAGTGGCTGGGCTCCCCTGGGCACCAGCAGTGGCCGATGGCCTCACTTACTGATGACCTCACTGAGAGGGGCTCTCAACCAGGGAATAGTCAGGACCCAGAGGCACTGCGAATGTGGATGGGAGCCAATGACATCTTTATTTTTCCTACCGTCTACCTGAAACTTAGCATTTCTTTCAACAGTAAATGTAGACAACCAGTGACTTTGTCACCAGGACCAATTGCAGAAGTTTGTATCTCACATTACAGTTGCTGCAAAAATCTTGAAATATTGTGCTCATCATTATTTTGAAATTACAGTAAATACTGCCCCTAGATCTTACTAATTAATACATTTGCAAAGTGCTCTATATATCATAAATTTGCCTAAAAATATTTTGATAACTGTCTTTTGGTCTTATTGGCTTTCTTTGTCATTTTGTGTACTGAATTTTATCCAGATATTCTCTATTGTCTGGTCCCACGGCTACTTGGTAACATACTGGTTACTGCTTGGCTGTGAGTCCTTGGGCAAATATCTTCTCTGGCTCTCAGTTTTCTTGTCCTCAAAATGAAGGGATCAGCATGTTAGATAATCTCTAAGGGTTCTGCCAGACTAACAAGTGATACGAGTTTGTGTACCACATTCATCGGGGGCCACATGCACTGTATCACAGCATGAGGACACTGGAGCTGGGGGTTTGTACTAACACTTCTTAAGGTACTTAGCTGTCATAATATTATAGAGAGCTTCTAGGAATTTGTCTAGGAAATATGCAAAAATTTATCTCCATGTATGCTGCCAGTGAAAAGCTAGAAACAACACAAACATTAAACAATAGATTAGTCAAATAGATTAAAATGAGTCCTTATGATGGAACAGTGAGAGCCGGCAGGGTGCTGCAGCAGAATAACCTGGAAGGGCAGTCATGCTCTACAAGCGAGCTCTTACAAAAGCCATTTGGGATACCTGAAGACTAATATGATTCTATTTTTATAAAATCATATGGAAATATAGGTATAGAAAGAAAATGAATATAGTCCAACATGATAATATTAGTTATCCTTAAGTGGCGGCATTATAGTGATTTTTACTTCTTTGCATTTTTCTGTTTCCTAAAATTTCTTAATATATATAAATTATAGAAATGTATATATATGTACACATACATATATATGTGTGTATACATATGTATATGACTATAATGAGAAAAAACAATGTCGATGTTGTATCAATGGAGTATACCACACAGTGGTGGCGAATCCACTGGTTTTGGCACTACACCTCCCAGCCTCCTTTCTGTGCGTCAGGTACCAGAGCAGGAGGACAAGGAGCCCCTGATGGCTTGCATCCTCATTACTTAAATGAGCCCCTGCGCCCCCAGCCAGGGCTCAGAGCGCGTGGGCCTGTGGTGGAACACCTGCTCTGTTGCCTCTGACATTGCTCAGGCCACCTCACTAGGGTGGGCTCTGGGGCAGGGAGGGGCGCGGCTGCCAATACCTGCAGGCTGGTGGCTTCCTCTGCCCACCAGGCTTCAAACTCTTTCTGCAGCTTGACCTTGGATTTGTCCATGAGCAGCTGCAAGTGCTCGATCTCCACCTTCAGGGCCTTCAGGTGCATGAACATCGTCTTATACCTACGGTGGAATCAGGTAAGAGTTTTAAAAGTCACTGGCAGGGAGGAAGGACTGTCACCGCGGTTCTGTGACTCAGAAGCCTGGCAGCACTGCCCTGGTGCCAGGTCTGGGGTGCATAGGCGCCCATGGAGGCAGGTACTGAGTCCTCCACGGAGATGCAGAGCTAGGTGACCTGTCCAGGAGGCCCTCGGGGCTCTGGGTGTGAGAATAACTCTCCTTCAAGAATGCTAACTGCCGCAGTGGAGCACTTACTAAGAGCTGACATTGTTCTAGGTACTCGACGTTTATGATCTCGCTTAATCTTCCTCACAACCCTATGAGGAAGACACTGTTATTATCATTTCCACCTTAGAGATTTGCAACCCAAGACATATGACATACAGAGGTTAAGTGACTTGCTCTATGGCACACGGCTAGTAAACAGAGGGGCCAGGGTTTGAACCCACGTCATCTGTTCCCAGAACCACAGTCTCAACTGCCTCACCATTCCGTTGGTTCACTTTCCTGCTGAGGACCAGAAGCCACAGCACATTTGGTAGTGTGTATTCGGGCTTTGGCATGCTCCAGTGAACCAGAAGTTGTTCAACAGGAAGCAAAATGGTTGAATAGCTAAATGGCAGAGACAGTGTGGCTTCTGAGATGACCCTGAGCTTGGAAATGGACCAAGGGGAAAGGATGGGGTGGAGTAAAGACACAAGAACAGGTTGGAAAGAAACGGAGAAAACTGGAGGGAGGGAAAAAGAAGACAACTGGTGAGCAAGTCCAGGGGGTGGGGAGCAGTGGCATGTCTGGGAGGGCAGTGTGAGGCCTTCTGGAAGGAGGGTGCTGGCCGGGGAAGACAGTGCGCAGCTGTTAGTGACCTGGAGACCAGCTGCAGGCTGTCCTGTTCTCCTCAAGTCTTGGGATGGGAGGGTTGTGCACAGTAGGGGGTTGGGGGGAGGGTGATAGAGTTTGCTCAAGGCGCCTGCCTAGCCAGCCCAGGGGGGCATGAGTGGCAATGACACCATCAGCTCCTTGAGGGCAAGGAAGGTGACTTGGTCATCCTCCCCAGAACTCCATGGCATGGAGGGGAGAGCAAACATTTGCTGAATGCAGAAATGCACAAATGAACTAAGAAGCTTGACTGGGGTGGCCAAGCTGAATACCAGTAATGACACATGTCTGTTTATGCCTGAGGTTCCTCACTCAGTGAAATCATCTGGGACTCTAAATGGCTACATGAGGGTGTGAATTCCCAGGATGCCTTACCAAGACAGCAACTCAGGAGGGAATGGGAAAGCTGCAGGCCGGCGCCAGACCTCCGTGGTCATACTTCCTGCCTCCCCTAGATGGCAGCAGGAGACAAGACTAGTTGCTTCCTGAGCTTCAGCCTGGCCCTGGGCTGGTGAGGGTGCCCACAGTGCACAGCATCTTGCGGTTGCTGAATCCAGCTCCAGGGTCTGGCTTGGCCTTCTGCCCCCTACTCCAACCTCACACTGCCTATGGTTCCTGCATTTCATGTCTGCCTGCTCAGAGGCAGGCAACTCTTTCAGCTATTTTAGGTCCCAGTTACTGGACCCACTTTCCAGAGTTGCTCCAGCCTGGGCTGGGGCATGGACGCTTTGCCTGCCCCGGGTAGCTCCAGGTTGTCCTGAAAGCCCTATGAGGCTGGGGTCAGGGTACAGTGGGGTGGAAAGAAAGGGCACCTTCTCTTTTCCTCCTCCAGTTGTGATCGCAGCTTCTCTTCCAGTGAGTCTGGCATCGAGGGTGTGGCTATGTTTTCTGAGATGCCTGTAGAGGGGAGATGCCGACGGGTTACTCAAATGAGGAAGAAGGGCCAATGGAGAAATGTGACACTGAGGGCAGATGATGTGCCCAGTGCATCCTAGGAGGAAAGGGGACCCTGTGAGTTCCTTGTGGGGCCTTTGGATGGAAATGTGTTTCAGCCCCCTCGTCTGCTCGGTGGAAAGCCTCTGAGGAGAGGCTTCTGTGGTTATTTCAGCTGTCCCTCCTGCTGTTTGACACCTGTCCCTGGAAGGGAATTCTTCCTTACATTGCTTTTAATCTTTCTACTACTGAGTTCACTCTTTCCTCTTTGAGAACCCAGGGAAGATGCAGAATAGCATTTCTCCATCCTCTGAGACAGAGCCCTTCACAAACCAGGACATCACCAACCCACCCACATCTTTCTTTGCACCAGCTGAGGTGCTGAATTCTCTAGCCTCAAATCCTATCTCCTGTTTTTAACTTCCCTCTAAAGCAGTGATTCCCAAGCCTGACTAACCCGGGCAATGCTAACATTCAAGCAGGGCTGAGCACGCACTCAGATGCCTTGCCCATAAGACAGGGCGACAGCACCATGGCGAGGCCTTGTGAGGGCTGTGTCCTCATCACGCTACCCTCTGCTACTGGCTGCCTAGCTGCCCACTCTGGCTGGGTGCTTGTCCAGTGGGTCCTTTCCTAGCCTGTTGGGTGGGGTCTGTTTGCCCTCCTAGGAGCCTCTTGGTGGTTGCACCGCATTTCTTAGCCCCACAGAAGGTTATCTTAGAAGTCACACAGCCCTGCTTTTTATTGCCTGTAGGGGAGAATCTAGTACAGGACGGGTGCTTTCCGGACATGATCAGACCTAATTCTTTTGGTTCTCATTTGAGGCGGTCCTCTTCCTATAGATAAGGGCGTTGAGTTCAAAGAGGTTAGCTTCCCAAGGCCACACGGCTAACTATAAGAACCTAGATCTAAACCCAGGCCTGTCCGGTTGCCAGGGCCTTGGATTCAGATGGTTCCTCCCTAACATTTCTGACAGACGGTCATCTGCTTTCTGCCCAAGTGCTTCCAGTGGTGGGGAGCTCACGGCTTTGCACAATAGCACATCTCATTGTGAGCAGCTCTGTTACCTCTCACTTTGAGCTGGGACCTGCCCGATTCCCTCATCTAAGGTCCCGGCAGCAAAGTTACATTCTAACTGATCTCAAATGTAGAGCCTAAATCTGGTCATAACACTCCAGACAGTCTGAGAGGGACAGAGTAGAGAAGGGTCCTTCCAGTGTTTAAACATTTATGCCCTAAATTTTTATAATAGGTAAATTCCTGACAGTGACCATTTACTGAGTCATATATACTCTATATACCAGCTCCTGCAAAGTCCTGCTAGACACTGGAGTAGGGGTTCTATTCACATTATTGTTAATTCTTATAATTCCCCCCAGCAGGGAAGTAAATGCCATGTCATTTCAGTGAGATTCTGAGGCTCAGAGAGGGTGGTGAACAACCTGAGGTCACACAGCTAATAAAAGGCAAAGCTGGCATTTGAACCCCAATTTTTCCAGTTTCAAAGAGCTAAATGTGTATACCAGGCAGCCTCCCCAACACTGTTTCTGGTTTTCAGCAACTTTGCCCTTGTCATGGCCATGTCCGTTTGTCATTGTCCTCAGTTGGTCACTGTCCTCTGTTAAGCTTGTGGTCTGTGTAAACACCTGCATATTTTTATGAGTGGTTGCCAAAATGCATCGTAGTTCAGTGTGATTGTCCTTTTGGTCCCAAATGGAACATTTCCCATTTATTGGGGTTTAGCCTGAGGAGAGGTCCTCATTCTGGCATGCCTTTATTCTTTCTCTTTGGCTGCCTTTTATGTCATTATCTAACTCATTGCTAAATATGCTAAGCAGATCGGGATTCTGTCCTGTATCTTCCGGGCACCTGCTACTCTCCCTCCCTTGTGTCAGGTGACAACTGTCACCTGTCAGCTGACCCAGCAAGTGTCTTACTCCATCATCTGGACACAGGGAATGTAGATACCCCAGGCTTCCCAACTGAAGATTACGCTGCCACCCATGCTGGTGCGTTTTATTGGCCCCAATGACAGGCCTGTCCGTACTACCCAGGCTCCCTGACCATAGACACTGGAAGCCCCTGGAGGCAGGGACTGTCCTACTCTTTGTATCTCCCCCTCAACCGGCTTTGTTCAGATTCTACATACAGGGTGCACTCAATGCCAAACATGTTCACTGCTCCTTGTCCTCTCTGAAAAATGTCAGAGATGTGAACTGAAGGAAGGATCTTAATATCAAACTGATAATGAGGACTTGAAATGGACAGACCATTTCCTCTCTTACTGGTTTCAGAAGTGGTTCCAGCCTGTTAAAGAAAAGCTGTGAATCTCCTTCCTCCTTTTAACACTTTTTGACCCCACACCTGAGAAATTCAGTGAAGACCCTGTTCCCTGTCCTGGTTGGACACCCTGTTAGGAGTGTTTGGTAGAAAGACAGATATAAGCAGCCCCGAAAGGGGAAGGTAAGGCTCAGAGAAGAAGCTGCCCAAATTCTGCCCAGGGAGGGGGTCCCATGTGGAGACAACAAAGGCTTTGCAGGGAGATAACTTCCTTCCAAACCAGATCGCAATCGAACGGAGCTAAGAACTGACCACATCACTCCTTGGCCCGGGGAAAGGACATGCTCACTGAGAGGGATGAAGATACAGAACGACCTGTAAATCAAAGAACCTTGTCAGTCAAAAAGGTGCCTCCTAACCGGAATGCGATACGTAGGCCTCCTGCCTAACCAATCGAGGCCTTTGTCTGCCTTGACTCTGGCCTGCTCCTCCCTTGGAGCATATTCAAATGAAACTTTCCCTCTGCCTGCCTATTGTGTCTCTGCCTCTTCATTTGTTGGGCGGGGACAAGGACCGAGGAGAAGGAACTCAACCCTCGCAATCCTGCACGTGCACGCTGCACAGGAGAGGCCTCTGATGGTGGGTGAAGGCAGGGCTGCAGATCTGCACAGCAGTGTCCCCTGGGCCAGTGGAGGCAATCTCCAAGGGATCTGTGATGGGATGGAAGGAAGGAGGAGGCCGACACAGCCTGGGCTCCACACACAAGCTATGGTTGCCCCAGCATGAGTGCACAGCCCTTTTGTAGGAGAGGGGCTCTGGCCTTGCCCCTTTGCTGGCTGTTTCTTTGCTGGGCATCTTGCAGGTTCACCTGGCAGACTGCAGTCACAGGGGCCTTGGAAGTGTGGGGGGTGTCCAGATGCCTAGGGGAAGGAGAGCTTTCTGAATGCAACTGACATGAGAATGGGAAGTCATGTCAGCTACCATTTATGGGGTGTGCACTTGGTCCTGTTCTCTAATTCATGTGTTCTTGTCATTCTGGCTAGCAGACATTATCACCTCTGTGTTCCAGACAAGGAGACAAGGCTCAGGGTGGCCAGGTGGCTTGCGCAATGCCATAAAGCTACCAAGTAGCAGAGGCAGGCTTTGAATCCAGGGCTGGTCACAGATGACTATGAGTGGCGGTAATGGGCTGCTCAAAAAACTGAGTATATGATATAATGCCAGGGGTTGGAGGGTCCTGTGAGGAAAGAGAAAGCTGGATAAAAGGTAGAGGGCTGCCATGCTAGGTAGAGTCATTTGGGAGGCCACTCTGACGAAGGGCATGTGAGCAGAGACCTCAGTGAAGGGAGGGGGCCACCATACAGAATCACTGCAGGGATTACAGCAGCAAGTGCAAAGGGCCTGAGGGGGATCTGTTTGGTGCATCTGGGAACAGCGAGGCCAGTGAGCCTGGAGCAGTTGGGAAGGAAAAGAGTGGTGGGAGCTGAGACTAGATGGCGCAGGACCTTGTAGGCCATGGTAAGGACCTTGGCTTTGAGAGAGGCGAGAGGCTGGAGCATTTGAAGAGAGGAATAGCTCAATCTATTCCTTTGATACCTAAGCCAAGAGTGTTTTGCTGATCAAGACAAAGCTGCTCCAAACTAAAGAATAGTTAATGTGATTGGCACCAGGATGTTATAAGCTTGTTGAAAGGATCTGGGAAAGAAAGCTGAGGCAAGGGACCTCGGGCAGCCAAGATGAGGGCAGAACATGTCCCTAAGACCAAGCTATCCACGTTGTCATGACAACCAGAGGGCTATTGCCAAAGGTGATGTCTGCATAGTGAAATGAATTGTAACCCCACAGGGGACAGCTCCTGGCTGCTTCTGGTGCTCCCTGAGGCTTGGCTTATCAGTCCACTGGGAAGAGAAGTAGGCGCTGGGAACTCAAAGGGAACTCAACAAAAGCGACTGAGCAAGCACAGAGGAAGGCGGAAGAACTGAAGGGCATGCGGGCTTTGGAGGTCCCCATGCTCACTGGGACTGTGGCCAGGGATAGAACCTCCCGTCACCTGACAGGAGGCACTGGGAGCCCTCCTTTCAAGCACAGGACTCAGGCTGGGACAGGAGCAGAGGTCACGGCCCTGGGTGGCCTATGAGGTCACACTGTTAGTCTGTATGAGCACCCAGCTCCAAAGCAACACAAAAGCAAAAAAGAAGGGTTTCATTCCAGTGGCTGTGGATCTGAATGTCACTCAGGGAGGAAGCTATGGGCAGTCAAACAGTGACTGAAATTCACGCAGGGCCCGCGCAGTCCCAGGCTGACCCTACCTCTGAAGTGTCAGGTGTCTGGGAACTGACAGCACAAGGACAAGAGGGGCTCTGGCTGGGAGGGCCAGCCTCCTGGAGGCCCCTCGAGCCTGGCGTGATTTGGGACATTGGGAAGATCCCTGTAACTCCTCTTCCCATGTCCCCACACCCTTCTCTCAAACGCCTCCCCACCAAAACTCTTCCACACAGTTATTCAATGTCTGAACTGTGCAGAATCTCATGCCTTTGCCTCAGCGGCTCTCTACTGGGGGTGCACATGAGAGTCACTTACAGAGCTCGTAAACGCACAGAGACAGAGGGGCCCTCCCCCAGACCCGCTGAGTTAAAACTTGCTGGTAAGTTCCCCTGGTGATTCTGATGCTTGGCCCTTGTTAAAAATACCACTCAAGCCTTTGAGGCCAG